ATCTGTGTACCTGACCGGCGATGGAAATGCCTTGAGAAGAACGACCGTTATCTGAAAGTCCTGTTTGAATCAACCCCACAATACAGAACTCTACGTAGACTGGGGCCAGTCTTTTTGGCAAATATTATTTCTGTCTCTGATTACACGTTTTCATTGAAAACCCCTTATGATATATTTCCACATTATCCTAACCACACCAAGGGCGGACCCAGGCCCAGTTTAGACTGTGAATATTTGAGGCATCCTGTCCGATAGTGTGAACCTGTGTGTAGAAAGCATCTTCTATAATCGAGTGTAATGTATCTCCAGTCGGTGGTGATAATACCCTGGACCCAACTGCCACCATGACTTCGTCACACGTGACGTCACATCTCCACATTCCCTGTCTCTATCTGACTTTCTCTCTCTCTCATGGATGAACTTTGATTTGGCGATTTTTTTAGCGTTGTAACATGCGAATCGGGTTAAAAACGAATCGGGGTCGAGAATATTTATCATGATAAATTTGAGACATAAAACACTGGATAATCGATTGTGGAATGAAAAACATGACAAGACAGCAATGACAGATTGTACCAGCGACAGGAGACTTGTACTTAAGTAAATATATGTAGTAAGTCAGTGGTGTCTCACTTATAGTATATCCTCGCCCAAAGGGTTAATGCAAACAATGATAACGCAGTTAGAATATATAGTACGTAGTGACAAGCATTTTTAAGATATAATGCCTCTCGTTTCAATAAATGGCATCCACTTTATGAGCCAGGATGTAAGTCTTATTAACTGGCATATAGATCTGCGCATTTGTTCGATCCTGTGGGAAAGTGCAGGTCATATATGCTTCGTCATCGAGGTCAGTAACGGGTGCAGCAGTCATGTCACCTTGATGGTTCACGAGTGTCAACCACAGTATTAGCCGATATATTTTTTATGTTACCTTGATAAAATTATGTTTGTTGTATAACGCAACATGTCATCGGCAACATTCCAGCTATATGACGGCGGTCTGCAAATAATCGAGCCTGGACCAGACAATCCAGTGATTGACGTCATGAGCATTGATCCATGCAAATGGGATACGATGACATTCATCAACCTAATCAGCGAGCCTGACCACCGATCCCGTTAGTCACCTCTTACATAAGCATAGTCGCCTTTTACGGTAAGCATGGGTTGCTGAAGACCTATTCTACCTCTTAAACCACTTAAACAGACTTGTTCTCTCAATTCCTTTAGGTAATTATCAATTTCAAACAGCAAATGTTTAGTGATCCGCCATTTACACTCTATTTCTGAGTTGGAATGCACCCACAGGAACTCGTTATTGGTCAGTAAATAAAAATATATACCCCCTATATTTACATACAGGGGGTATATATATTTTAATTTACTGACCAATAACGAGTCCTTGCGAATGCACGTGGGACGAAGTAAGAATGTTTCTATACATACTTCTGTACCAGCAGAAAAAGGGTTAATATGATTTTGTTTCTGATAACAGTTACTGCCACCCCCCTAAAGAGGTAACGCTGTATTTTAAATACCATATGTTCATTGCATATCCAAAACAAGGTGTTATCTTTCATACTTCATAACGTGACTTCCTTTACGTTGTTTACTAACTATAGCGATGTGATGACTGTTTTGCACTTATAAGGGGTCGACAAGTTCTCCATTCTAAGAAAAATATATTAAATTTTTGTTGGGGGGGGGGGGGGGGGGCAAATATAATTTGTCCTCGGGTTTTACAAAAAGATAACTAAATCGTTCGTTGGACATGCTGGTTGCTCTTTAAAATAATGCATTGTGCTTTGGTCCTGAAGGGTCAAAGATGTAAGCATTAAAAGACCTCCGAACTTTAAACTCCGATTTTCTTTTGCATGCAAACGATATTCGTTTTCTAAATATTGTGGAATTGTTAGATGTGGAGGGAGATGGTTTTGTACAGGTCTACATCCTTACTATTGAAACGTTTTCGTTTTTTCGAAATGTCGATGAGATTGAAAAAAGTCAAACAAAGAAACCTATTTATTTTCCGTAGGGTCCTACACAGGGGATTTTACAGCCGGTTCATTAACCCTCGTTTTAAGAGGCGTGATATCGGTAATATTGACTCAAAGGGGGAAATATATGTGCACTCTTTGTGCTATTCAATAATGCATGCATGCAAGTTTAAACAATATATGTGAATACCTGCAAACCGGCTCATATACCAGCGTTCGTGTCGACTGGCACGTACACACACGCCTTAAAACCCATGAGTATAACACCTGGCACGCCTCATTATACTTACAAGATCACGTTCCCGAATCTATAGATGCACGACTGGAATAAAGCTGTTTAACGGGTACGGGGCTCATAGGCGTGTTTAAAGAATGAGGCACGTGGGATTAGTCACATCACTGTTGCTCATTATAAATGGAAAGTAATCTTTAACGATGGTCTGGGTGCAGTTGCATGCTAAATATACTTTCAAGTTTTGTTATTACAAAAAGTATTCAGATTTGAGATTATTTAATGTTTTATATGAACGCAACAACATAAAAATAATATTCCATTTTTAAATGTACCTATTTCATACATTTAATTTAGTGAAACAGGTATATAGTCAAAGTGCATTCTCAACAGTATTTAATGTTCTACCATTCAGTCGTACATATATGGTTATTAAGTACACTATAAACACATTATTTTATGAATGAAAGCTATGTCACATTGCAGTAAACATGCAATGCGCCAGTCGTATCAATAAATGTTAAGTATTTATTTCGCTTTTTTAATCCCCTAGAGTCTTTGGCGATGATAAGTTTGGACTATACATAGGACTTAATTGTGGGTAATTGTATCGGAAATATATGCATTATCAATTTGTTAAAGCATTTTTTTTATCGTTTCGTTAAACTTGAACTGTTTATGGAGCCTATTTATACAAAATATCAAGTATAGTTAAAGACGCTTTGAATTCCAGTATTATGAATAATTCTTTTCGTGACGGCAGGTAGTGCAAGAACTTTTATGTACGCTTCAGTGATTAATGAAGCAATAATAATTTATTAATGGAAGTTAACTTTCCTTAAATGTTGTTTAACCGTGCGTGCCTGCGCGTGAGCGCGTGTGGTGTATCGTCAACTGTCATCTATATTTTACATTTTCTTGTAAACGATGTGATGTGCGACACTAACATATGTTTATCACCCTCTCTCTCTAAATTGTCCTAATGTTGTGCTTACAGAGAGCGCTTGGTCACCAGGTTCATACCTTGCATCTGTGTTTCCTGTTACAGTTTGTTTACCTGCGAACTACAGAAGCAATGATCGGATAAGCGTCGTGTTGTGTTTATTTCTAAGGTCCTTTGAACCGGCGTCTATCCGAGGCAGTCAAGTTTGTTTTTGTGTTTTTTTTCAATATTTTGTTTTAAATGCAAATGTCTTTCCCCATGCTATTCATGATGTATTAAAGTTTTTATTTGCGTGTTTCAAGGTAGCAAGTCGGAAATGATATAGGGTTGTTTTACGGAACATGATTAATAATCTGTTCAATGTGTTTACACATCAGGCAAGAGCCCAGCTGTTGCTCTTTGCTATGTATTATACAGGAATTTAGAAGCAAACTGTCAGATAAGTTCGTAACGGTTATCTCCCATTTGTCAGACGGGCAGTTGTCAGCCAGTTGTCAGCCAGTTGTCAGCCAGTGGAGAGTAGACATTGGTACTAAAGACAGCACCCATGGCTAGAATAGGACAGTCCTAATTAGTGAGGTATATTCAGGAGGAATACTTTTAATCAGATGGATGGCTTTATGGAAGGACAGATAGACAAATAGATTTCCTCCGAAGTTGGCGATACAATACAATAAAATACTGTCATCATATCTGACCAGTTGGTTTGTTGGTTTGTTGCTTAACGCCGCACTCAGCAATATTCCAGCTATATGACGGCGGTCTGTAAATAATCGAGTCTGGACCAGACAATCCAGTGATTGATATCATGAGCATCGATCCACGTAATTGTTTGCTAGGTATTCGATACACACATTTATCGATTTTTTTTATATAATAACATAATTGTGAAGAAGAACAAATATGTTCTGAGTAGTTTACTAAAGAATAGAAGAGCACATTTATCAATGAAAGACTGATCAGACATAAAACCAATGCAGTCTTCAATAACTCTTAAAAACAATGCTACATGTAAATGATTGTGTGTGTGGGGGGGGGGGGGGGGGGGTTGTAATTCTCATATTCCCCTACCCATACCCCTCTTATAATAAATGATCCGGTGAAGATCCGGCGTAGAATAGGTCTTCAGCAACCCATGCGTAAGGCGACTATGTATGCTTGTCGTAAGAGGCCACTTACGGGATATTACTTGCATCAACTGGTTTGTTCCCGTTAACGAACATTATAACTGTACTTTTAGTGCCATCATATTTAAGCTGCCACTTATTTAGATACCAATGACCTATTAGAAACAGTGGGGGCACGTTAAGGCACCGCAATTCGCTGTTAAAGAGTACTGTGGGCACGCCAGAAACGTATGATTGCGGGTTCGAATCCCGATCCGTTTATATTTCTAGGTTTGTCAGTACCAAATCAGTGGATTTCACCATTTTTGAAGTGAGTGAGTGAGTTGGGTTTAAAGCCGCTTTTTTAACAGTATTCCAGTTATATCGCGGCGTGTCAGCTTAATTTGGGAGGAAAGCCCGAAGTGATGCAGGTCTCAGACGTTTACCACTTCGGTGAAACCCACGAGTACGGGTATGGTGCTGACAAACCTAGAAACATAATCGGGGAGTCTTAATCCTATGTTAAATTTATCAACATATCATTATATATTATAAGTGGCGGACACGCATTGTTCTATCGATGCTTGCACGTTGTTACATCGTGGGAAAACATAAGATGATGACGACATGATCGCGCAATCAGCAACATTATCTTTTGCCACATGCAACTGTATGCCCATCGCGAGCGCTTTTTACGGAAATACCCGAACGTTGCAAATGTTTTCATCACTTCCGGTGCCTGTCCAGGGCTTTAAGAAGGTAGCATCAGATACTGCTCTTACAAATTCTGCTGATTGATACATGATGGCTCTCAAGGTGGTCATAAGCAAAGACAAGCCAGCTGCAGGTAACACATATACGCCAAAGTGTTTAATTATTGATTAGTCTAATATGAACCGGCTAGATGCCATCGGAACGGGCACGTGTTCTTCTAGTTCAACCTATTGTCTGGTTTTCGATCACAATTTTCTACTGTCACAAAACAAGATTTGTCTCCTTAGGTTTCCATTCTGTTGTGTCTGCAATTCGTTTTATGAAATGTGGAAGTGAATCAAACGGATCAAATAAGAGGAGTGAGCTAATTGGAGACATTTCCAAGTTGTAATGTGAAATCGGTTCTATTTAGGATGTTTGTTTATGCATGGACACTTAATACGACTTAGGGTCCATGGTTTATGCCATCAAGCCACCTTGTGAGAAAGCAAACATTTGCAAAATATGGTATGCATATGTTGCGTTGTTATAACTGCCTATAGTTGTCACAAAATGTCTTATCATAAATAAAATGCAGAGATTTCCAGTGGTTGAAATAACATCCTGTCAGCTACCTCATGACTGGTAACATTTCAGTCAGGATAGGTAGTGTTTATTCCTAACAACCCGACTATCAAGTAGAAAATGTCTTTGCTACACTGACAATTTTGAATCAGACATTGATATGTGACTAATTTACCAGGCAGCAAGAGCTACCCATGTGATTATAGAGCTGTAGGCTAAATGTTTATGACACAGATTGAAATAAATCTGATAGGCTAATGTTTATTTACTCCAGCATCACAATGCTCACAGGCCCCTGAAGCAGGCTAGTGATATTCCTGAAACACCAGACTCATATATATAAATAGACTATTAATATATATGGGCCTGGTGTTATAGGAATATCACTTTCCTGCTTCAGGAATCCATGTCCAGCATGTACTTACAGATGCGAGCCTGCAAACTTTCAAGGCGAGCAAGGCTAGCTTTGAGTTACCATCTTGCCTAGGTTGTTGGGTGTAAAAATGACTCGTGGGACCCAGTGCCGCATGCCTATGGACGTGTATTTAAGGGGACAAAACAAGGCATGGTTGGCACGGATTAGTAAACTGTGTCTGAGTATCCATGTTAAACTGCAGCATGGTCTCTCAGTTGGCTACCATTATAAAACACACACATACACACCCACCCAAATGCACAAACACATGCAAGCATGTTGCTTTTTAAGTGCAATAATCTTGTAAATGTTTTTGAGACGTGTGACCTACGGCTGAGATCGTCCTCACAAGAAGTTGTAGAAAACCAATCACAAAAAGACTGTGACCATGAAAGATGAGATATTCAGGACCAACTGTGCATGGAAACAAATTACAACCACAACGACTGAGAACTGTTGGGAAAAAAGGACTAAGCGATAGGTTCAATGACTTCGGGGGGTTCATAGAAACTAATGTCACCAATGCGGTTGCCAAGTACTGGGACTATTCCAGCGTAAATGCCCTTGATGTTGATCCAACTTCAGTCCAAGTCTGGCGACATGTGATGACAACCTCCCCATCACAGAGAGTAATACTGATGATCAGTTGATTGAGCATGCTCAATAAACTGGCAACGAAGATGAAGGGACTGTGCAGCAATCCCACACTGTACCCCAGGATACAGCCAATGAAGCAGTCAGGGTTCTGAAACTTTCCGTTGCCTACATTGACCTAAACCCACTTGGTTCCTTCACTGCTACAACCCTTCTACAAGTACAAGCAAAACTGCTGTTACTTACATATGATAAAGAAAGACATTCAAAATAAAAAGCTGCAATGCATCACAAATTATTTCAAGTAATTGTCCTTTCCTCCCACATTAAGCTAACACGCCATGATATAACTGGAATACTGTTCAAAGCAGTGTTAAACCCAACTTACTCACTTCAACCAATTGTCAATTCAATTAAGCATTAAAGCTAAAGTGAAAGTTAAAGCTCTTAAATAAAAACAATCTATCAGTTGGATATATATTTATTTTACAACTATGAATCATTCTACTATGTACTGTACTCTAAAGTTGCTCCATGAAATCTATTAAGATATCAAAGACCAATCAACAGTCAGTGTAAATCCAATCTATCTACCTTTTTCTTAGCTACCTAAATTCAGGTATTATTACCCATTGTTGTTTTCATTGACACTTAAAGCTACTATTTTGCTCATATAATCCATTTGTCTGAGTGGGGTATCCATGTTTAAACTGCAGTGTGGCCTTTAAGGGGGTAAGCATTATAAAACTTGCACTCACACTCACTCAACCTCGACCGCCTCTGTGGTCTAGTCGAAGAGCGTCTAACCGGAGAGCGGAAGGTCTGTGGTTCGATCCCCGGCTGTGTCATACCAAAAGACGTTAAAAGATTGTACTTGTTGTTACCCTGTCTGGCGCTCGGCATTATGGGGATAAAACAAGGACTGGTCGGCTCGGAGTCAGTGTACTGTGTCTGAGTGGGGTATTACTGCGGCATGGTATCTCAGTGGGCTAGCACTATAAATCGGCATCAGTCCGGTCTAGTACAAGCAGCCACACACACACATGCATGCACGTTGCTATATAAGTGCAATAATCTTGGACACGACGTCAAACCCATTTTCACATCCCCTCACCTTAAGAGTTCTAACAGTTCTTATCTATTACCATAAGAGTATGATTCGAAATTAACTTAACGCTTGTTGTTAATTAACATAATCCTTATAATCTAGAAAAATAACAAGTAGATACTGTTGTGTTACAGTGGGTTACCTGTAACAATGTTCATATTTAACATTTTTAAAGTAATTAGATATACATTTGGCGAGAAAAAGATGCAGGTAAACATATATCTTGTTCAGGGCTCTATACTTCCTATAATCCCATTCAGCATGTATCTATTATCTTATTGAAGTTGGTTTAATATTCATATTAAATTTGTCTAAATGGACTTTCGTCCCTCTTCCAGGCTAGATATGCAGACGGACAATACATCTGTGTGTCAGATATAAGTCAAGCTTTTTGAAAATAAGAATATGTGTAATATTAGAAGAGCCTTATGCAGCATGTGGTTTATCTATCATTAGATTTCATTTACAGATTACGGTACTTGTTTATTCATGTATTACAGGGCTGGTTGTTATAAAACATGTATCGCAGAAACAGCAGAAAATTATCGAAATGTCTATCAAAGAGTACATGGCAGAATATTGTCATTAACAGCATCTGTCACATGTTTCGCTCGTCAATTATTTTTATGATCACTGTTATTATTATCATGATTATTATTATACTGGAATAGTAATTGACTGGTGTAAATCTAGAAAAATATCTCAGGTCAATTTTATGTTATTTGTATTCCAATGAAGGGTATTGCTCAATCAGAGCAGAACTCCAAAACTGTTGAATACTTTTAGATGAAACGTGCTATACAGATGAGGCTAGTGTTGAACTGGTGCCTTTTGATGATTTGAGAGCTGTATTTTTAAACAAAAAATATGTTTCATGACAACAAGTTGGACTTAACTGAAAATGAAACTTGTGTTTGTTTCCGTAGCAGAACTCCAAAACAGTTAAATATTTCTAGATGAAACATGCGATACAGATCAGTCTTGTGGTGAACTAGTACCTTTTGAAAATTTGGGATGTTGAAAAATACAGCATTCATTTTTTCTTCACTGAACTGAAGGTGTGCAATGGCAATGAACCAAAAGAGGGGTGTAAGTAGACTAAGTCCATTTCCAAATTGCACAAGACAGGGGGGATATGTCATCTCCTGATGATTCTTGTTATTGTTGTATGGAATGAAGCTCTTTCAAAATTGATGAAACAATTCCTTGAGTGGCGTTTAGAAGTTTGTGTTGTGAAGGACAGCTAAAGTGTGATTTCATTTGTATTAAAAACCCATCTGTAACGTCATGCTATTGTTTAAATGCTCCATTATTTTTCAGGAATGGAGAGTTGTTTGTCAATTATATCTTCAACCAACATTTCAATTAATTTACACTTGGAATAGACAGAAGTAATTTTTTTGTATTTTGACAAGTGAATGATTTCAAATTTTGTCGGAAAATGTGTTGCCAGTGGGATTCAAACCTGCATTGTTTGATTTGAGGACGTCTCATTGCCGACCTCTATGATCGCGACATGGGAACAGGATTCGGAATTAACTTTTATATAGTTTAAAAAAAATTCATTATCCTTAAAAGCTAAAAAATCTAACAAGTATATAATCATGGTAATGTTGTATTGCAGCAGGTTACCTATAAGTATAACAATGTTCATATTTAACATGTTTTAAGTAATTAGATAAACCTTTGATGAGAAAAGCAATCTGGTAAACATATATATCCTTGTTCAGGGCACTATAATTCCTGTTATCCCAGTCAGCATGTATTTATGTGCAACTGATTTATAAAATACTAGTTTTCGACCCCATGAAATTAAGAAGCGCCGTGTACCATGCATTATAAATATCAGCTTGCGACGGAGCTTGTTGCAGTGCAACAACAGCAGAGAGCATATTCCTCGTGCACGACGCATGGGCGGCTTGCACAGTATAAATACAGGCGACAAAGAGTTCTTTTTTTATTTGAAATATTTTCCACAAGAGACGGTTTTGTCAAAGTGTAAAAGTAGGGATGTGTTTGGAAGTAAGTAAGGGAATATCCTGGGATATAATGGGCCTCCATTATTTTTAAGGGATGCAGAGTTACTCGGACTCTACATTAATTAACGAACTTGTCCTTGAAACATCAATCTCATTTACCGTATTCGACGTAATAAGCACCCAGAGTGCTCTCAAAATTAGAAATAGGGGGCTCTTATAAGAATATTATTTTGGTGAAAAAAAACAGAGTTGAAAGATAAATTTTGTGGTTTATGCTGACAGCCTGAAATATTTATATACAACATATATATTTTTCCAGAGTTTAATTGCCCATAATTGAGGGTGCATATTACACACAAGTGCGTATTATACACAAGTAAAAAGGTCTTGTGTACATTGATCAATAGGAAGGGGTGCTAATTGGGATTGTTCACAAGCCAATATTAGCAAATATCGCTGTGGGCGCTTATTACGTCGAATACGGTAAATCAGATCTTAGTTTTCGCTAACACTAACCAAAGATCTGAGGACACCCCATTACAGGTCTCGATTCAAAAGTTAAAAACTGAGCAAAAGAACATTCTGTAATGTCTAATAGATGGCCTAGATTGTCGGTCAGAACTTCCCACAGGCTATGTAAAATCTCTTAGTTTCAAATGTTTATCCCATTGAGGCTAGAGAGAGATGATGATTTTGACGGATTCAGTCGTACAACCCATAACTGTCCTTTCGGAATACACTGTTAACCTTTTTTAGGTTGCATGATTAGAAAACACTTTCCGATAGTTACTTTTCTGATCTTGCTGGATGAAAGGTGTTTTGACATAACCTGTAATGGGACGTCTTCAGATCTTTATTTAGCGGTATCTGGAACTAAGATCTGATTTTAATGAGATTTATAAAACATAGATACAATAATATAGTACAGTAGTCATTTGTAGTATTAGTAATAATCTCCACTTGGAGAAGTGTTTGTTTTCAAACAGATTTTATACCTAATTTCTGCTTCTACACAGTTATCGGGTCTGTAGGGTAGCCTAGTGGTTAAAGCGTTGGCTCGTCATGCCTAAGAGCCGGGTTCGGTTCCCCACATGGGTACAATGTGTGAAGCTCATTTTCCGGTGTCCCCTGCCGTGATATTGCTGAAATATTGCTAAAAGTGGCGTAAAACCTCACTCACTCACCCACCCACCCACTCCTAGAATATCAAAATCACTCATAAAATAAAAAATCCATGTCTTATAAAACAGTAAGACCAGGTGACTACAGAGCTTGTCGTAAGAGGTGACTAACGGGATCAGGTGGTCAGGCTGACTGACTTGGTTGATGCATGTCATTGTATCTCAATTGCAAGGATCAATGCCCATGATGTCAATCACTGGATTGTCTGGTCCAGACACGATTATTTACCGACCGCCGTCATATAGCTGGAATATTGCTGAGTGCAGCGTTTAACAACAAACCCAAACCAAAGACTACAGAGCCAGGAACCTCATACGTCCTTGTTTGAAGGCAGTGTTTATAATTTTTGTGGTGGTATTATTTGTAAAGAATAACTTGTATGAATGGTGTTGACTTTGATTTCAGCTGCAATCGTTGCGGTTGAGTATTTGAAGGCAAAGGGTGAGGACGTAAGCTGGGAGTTTGGTCCCTCCAACAGCCTCACAGTCAACAAGTAAGTAGAACTGCCTGTGTAAGTTTTAAATTAAAACTTAAAAGCAAAATTTAACATGTTTAGAGGAAGTTCAACATTTTTTAAGTTTGTTTGGTTGTAAAGTTAAAAGAAATGTGTGATTCAATTGGTTTTTAGGGTATCAGGTTTGGTCCATCTGACAAGGACATGACTGTCCTCCATTCACTATGATTAAGATGGAATAATGTGGTGTCATAAAACTACATTCACTCACTCATCGTTATTTGCATTAGTCCTCATGAAAATTAGGTTAAAATTTGTCTGTGGCAAACCATTATTTTCATAAGAGGCGACTAACACGATCAGGTGTTCAGTCTCTCTGACTTGATGCACATTATCATGTCCCAATTGTGTAAATCATTGCTCATGATGTCAATCACTGGATTGACTGGTCCAGACTCGATTACTAAATACTGTCATATGGCTGGGATATTGCTGAGGGCAGTGTTAAACAAAATGCAAACAGTATTTGCGTTAAATGAGACTTTAGAGTCACAGCAAAACAAGAAGTTAAATAATGTAAAATGTTTTCTTGTTTACAGGGATGTGAATTTCACTTTCTGCCCCTCCATTTGTCGCTATCTGGCCCGAGCATTCCCAGCAGCCGGACTTCAAGGGGGACCTGTTCTGGAGAAAACTGAGGTGGGATTTCATTTGAAATAGTCATTTGTAATAATAGGGTTGTCATGACTCCCCTATGTAATGCGAATATTAACCTGACATAAGGGCATAATAAATTAATTGCTAGATTATCATCCCAGCCCGACTCATGACTAAACCCCCTGACAAATTAATTCATGTTTATGACAAGGATTAAACTGGCCTACAACTGACTCTTGTTGTGTGCCTGCCTGTCGTCTGCTTGCTGTCAGCTGTCAAGATGGTGCTCACTATTTTGAAAACACCAGAGGAGTCTGTGAGAGGGGCGGTCGGGTAGCCTAGTGGTTAAAGTGATCGCTCGTCACGCCGAAGACCCGGGTTCGATTCCCGACATGTGTGAAGCCAATTTCTGGTGTCCCCCGCCGTGATATTGCTGGAATATTGCTAAAAGCGGCATAAAACCACATTCACTCACTCACTCTCACTCACTCACTCACTCACTCACTCAGAGTCTGTGAGTTTGCTTATTGGGAACATGACAAGTTATCATCAATTGAGGATAAATTCAGTGAAAACGTAAATAGGTTTGACACAGATACATCGGACTGGTACTGTTGAAATCAATGTTTATTTGTTATCTTTGTTATTTCAGTCACCTTTTGCTCATATCAAGGTGTCCAGTCTATAACTTGATGACTTTAAAAAATATTTTATTTTAGCAAATAATAAATAAAAAGCCTCCCTCCCCACTTTTGGAACAAAAGTGGATGATATTCAAGCAATTAATTTATTATAGCCTAACAACACAGCTATCCTTGTATCAGTTTGTGTTTCAAGGCTGTATCGACTCTACACATAATAATGATGAAAGTTTGTAATGACTCGGCCCTGATGACTGCTCGGACTTGTGTGGAACAGTGTTTGCAGGAAATCCAACGTCTGGACGAACAGTTTCAGTGCATTGTTGTTACCATGGTTACAGATGTTAAGATATGACCTGATTTGACTTGTCCAGGTTGACCACTGGATCCAGTTCGCTGGAGGTCAGCTGTCCTGTGCGTCAGACTTCGCGGATGCCATCCAGTACCTGGACAACGTGCTTGGCTCCATCACCTTCCTGGTCGGCCACAACTTCACCATCGCTGACTTCATCGTGTGGGAGGCCCTGCAGAGTAAGACCAAGTTTTGACTGCCCTTCAGTGTCCTTTGATTTGGTTGGTTGGTTTCTTGTTTAACGCCGCACTCAGCAATATTCCAGCTATATGACGGCGGTCTGTAAATAATCGAGTCTGGACCAGACAATCCAGTGATTAACATCATGAGCATCGATCCACACAATTGGGATCGATGACATGCATCAACCAAGTCAGCGAGCCTGACCACCCGATCCCGTTAGTCGCCTTTTACAACAAGTATAGTCACCTTTTACGGCAAGTATGGGTTGCTGAAGACCTATTCTACCCCGGAATCTTCACGGGTCTAGTGTCCTTTGAGGTGTTGCACGTGGTTGATATTAATTAAGACATCACTTTGGATTGACTGCAATATGAGAAAGTGCTAAACATCTACTGCATCACTCTGGGCTCTCATCAGGGGCACAGGTGGCCCAGTCATCTCAGGGGCTGCCATTTGCAATGCAGAGTTGCAGTGTTGCATCCCTTGGGCAGGCCAGACCTATGATCGTGGGTTCGAATCCCGGTTCTCTCCGATTATGTTACTAGGTTTGTCAGCACCATGCTTGTGCTCGTTGGTTTTACCAAAGGGGTAAACATATGAAACCTGCATCACTTTGGGCTTTCCTCCTTTATTAAGCTGACACTCCGTGATATAACTGAAATACTGTTCAAAGCAGCATCTCTTATTTTGACAATTAACGTATTTGTCCTAAGGGTTACATTAATTTGATTCAGCCAACGGCCAGTGGCACTCTATGCTAGAGAAGGGGCGTGCTCCTCCACACGTCAAGCGTTACTACAACTTCCTGTCATCAGAGGCTATCTTTGCATCCACGGTCAGCAAGCTGCCAAAGGTCGAGATCAAGGGAGATAAGCGAGGAGATGGTGTTGTAAGTTTACTACTATTGATAAGTATTTCCATTTTAAATAGGAAAATCACCAATAATTGTGTGATGTCATTTCAAAACTTTTTTCTTATATCATTTATCATGTTTAAAAACCTAGGTTCGATTGATTGTCATTTCTGAAAGACTTGGTATGAATGGCCTACTCATTTGCTGTGCAGAGTTGCATCCTGTAAGTAGACAGAATCCCATGATCATGGGTCTGAATCCCAGAATCACACTGATTACGTTTCTAGGTAAGTCAGCAGCATGAGTATGGTGGTAAACATCGAAGACCTGCATCACTTCGGGCTTTCCTCCCACAACAAGCTGACACATTGTGATATAAACTGAAATACTGTTCTCAACAAAATGATTTGTTTCTCGGGAATCTTTTTTCTCAAAATTTGTTCTGTTGATGTTGGGATTTTGTGACAGTGATTTTTTTTCTATTTGGCCAAAATGTGTGCAGTGTCATACTCTGTTGATGCTCAGCAGGAGGATGACATGTTGTCAAGAAGTGAAATGTCAAATGATTTCTTATTCCATGAGTTTGCTATCAACATCTACCCATGAAGATCCGGGGTTGAATAGGTCTTAAGCAACCCATGCGTGCCGTAAAAGGTGACTTTGCTTGTCGTTAGAGGCACCTAACAGGATTGGGTGGTCATGCTCGCTGACTTGCTTGATGCATGTCATTGTATCCCAAATACAGGGGTCGATGCTCGTGATGTCAATTACTGAATTGTCTGGTCCAGACTCGATTATTTACAGACCGCTGACAATACTGGAATGCTTAGTGCGGCCTTAACCAAGAAACAAACAAAACATGATATGATACGAATGTCTGCCAAGAAATAGTTAGTTGTCATCAAATTGTCTTTGTTTTAGAAAAGAAAGAGAAAAATGTCCTCTGTATCTTCACTGTAGGAAAAAAATAAGTTGGTTTGCAGCCTGATCTTAGTGAGGAAGAAACACTGATGTACCTGTTGTATGGGTTTTGTTTCAGGTGAAGAAAGACGAGGGGAAGTATGTTGACCTACCAGGGGCAGAGATGGGGAAAGTGGTCGTCAGATTCCCCCCAGAGGCCAGTGGGTACGTTGAAGCACTTCTTATTCAATGTTTTGTAAAGTCTTGTTTGACAGAGATGCATTGTACCTGACAATAATGCTACTATTATCTGATAGGGATGCTGCTATCACCTGTCAATGATGTTGCTGTTACCTGACAATAATTTTACCTGAAAAGGATATCTCTTGTACCTGCTAGGGGCGGTTGAGTAGCCTAGTGGTTAAAGCGTTCGATTGTCACGCCGAAGACCCGGGTTCGATTCCCCACATGGGTACAATGTGTGAAGCCCAATTTTGGTGTTCCCCTGTCGTGATATTGCTAAAAGCGGCGTAAAACCATGCTCGCTCACTCTGTAATGCTACCCATACTGACGTGACTGAGATGCCCCTGTATTTCAGGTACCTGCATATCGGCCATGCCAAGGCAGCGCTACTCAACCAGTACTACGCAGAGGCCTTCAAGGGTAAACTCATTATGAGGTTTGACGACACAAACCCAGCCAAGGAGAACGAGGAGTATGAGAAGGTAGGACCAAATAAAATAACCAATGGTTACAAAGGCAACAAACATACACAAATGCACCACAGCCATACACAGAAGGTTAAATCAAAGTCACAGGGTCCCTGAAATATATGTGAAGTTATCTGAGTTATCTAACACTGGACCAGACCGCTGTGGTCTTGTGGATAGATCATCTGCCCAGAAAGTGGGAGATCGGTAGTTTGATCCCAATCCAAAAGATGTAAACAGATGGTACTTGTTGTTACTGTGGCTGGTGGTCAGCATTGAGGTGATAAATCAAGGGCTGGTGGGATTGGAGTGTGTATACTGTCTGAGTGGGGTGTCCATGTTTAAACTGCGGTATGGCCTTTGAGTGGGCTTGCACTATAAAACTTGCATCAGTTCGGACTAGTACAAGTAGCCACAGACACATGCATGCACATCGCTATATAAGCGCCAAAATCTTGGACGCAGTGTTAAACCCCATTTCCACACCTCACCTCACCTCACACTCACACTCACACTCACGAACACACTCATGAACACACACACACATCGATTATATAAGTGGAATAATCTTGATTGTGACGTGAACCCCAATTTCACCTCACCTGATTTTGTACCATGTCCACTACTGCGATACTGTTGAAAATGGTGATACCCCAATCCTCTTTGTATGAAGGTGAGGACACTATCTGTGATTTCACTGTTGTCAGGCGACTATGATTGTGATTGTCAGGACTGGGTGGTCAGGCTCGCTGACTTGGTTAATGCATGTCATCAATCCCAATTGCGTGGATCGATGCTCATGATTTCAATCACTGGATTGTCTGGTCCAGACTTGATTATTTACAGACTGCCGTCATATAGCTGGAATATTGCTGTCCGGTCAAACAACAAACCAACCAACCAATTTCACTGTTGTCAGGTCATTCTGGAGGACCTGGCTAAGCTGGGGGTCAAGTACGACATCTTCAGTCACTCCTCTGACCACTTCGACCGTCTGATGGGCCTCTGTGAGAAGCTGATCCGTGACAAGAAGGCGTACGTGGACGACACCGACCCCGAGACAATGAAGAAGGAGAGGGAAGAGAGGAAGGAATCCAAGAACAGAAACAACAGTGAGTACAGAATGGGTTGGGAAGATCCTAGCATTGCTTGGATAGGACAGTGAGGGGAGCTGGCTCACTATGCACGCTATAACCATGATAAACTGGAAAATGTAAGATTGACTCAAATGTTTGGCCTTTTGAAAAATGTCTTTCAGATCACCAATGACTTGTGTTGTTCATATAGGGAAGTGCCATGTTTGAATTAAGTTAGATTCAGTTAATGTTAAGACTAACATTAAGACTATGAAATCTTATATTACACAATACCCTTCTCGAATAAAAAAAAAAAAAAAAAATAGTTTCCCTATGCTGATTTAGAGCTACTGGTAGCTAGAGCTGGCTAGACTTGCTTTAGTATACGTTTCTAAAATATTTTTTTAAAAATTCATAAAATAAATTCATAAAATAAATATATTCCACGGTCATGGTGCAGGACTAGTAAATATCCTGCTTGGCCAGTTTTCTTTGCTCTTCTTGATTACTAATTCTAGAATAACCCCAATAATAAAATAGAATCCTTGATCTTCCAACACCATACTCATCAGGGTCTCCAAAGTACAGTTAACTATGGTTATAACCACAATTCGTTATAAGCAGATATACAACATATATACAACAAATGCACAGGACCAAAAATCAGTTTGTTATATCTGTCAGATCGTTAAAGTGTGTTCGTTATAAACGTACTGTATTCTAATACACTTCTGTTACCTGTGTCAGTTGGACCTTTCCTCCATCATTAGGTGATATATCTGAAATACTGTGCAGTGCAGGTTAGACCCACTGACTATTATAAGGGTAACGCTATTTTTCAGGACATTATTATTTGCAGAAGCGTGAGGTCTTCCATGAACGGCCCAACGAAGGAGGGCAGTTGAAAAGACCGAGGGCTTCTGCAAATGATAATACCCTGAAAAATAGCGTTACCGTTATTATAGCTAAAATGGATGGAATTTGTTATCAAATAAAAAGAAACAACAATATCGGTTTTGAAACATTTACTGCAATCAACACGAATGCCACTGACCCACTTTTACAAATAGGGAAACGTCATAGAACAAACCAGATGACGTCACTATTCAACGTGACGTCACCTCTTCCTATCCTATGACGTCACCTAACAACGGGCGTGATAATGGCAATATGAGGGCATTATCAAGTTACAGTGGCCCGCTGATTTCTGATAACATGTGGGGGCGCTGGTGGCCCAGTCAGTCTAAGGCGCAGCAATTCCCTGTGCAGAGTTGCGGGCCCTTGGGCATGCCAAAACCTATGATTGTGGGTTCGAATCCCAGTTCGCCCCGATTATGTTTCTAGGTTTGTCAGCACCATACCCGTGCTCGTGGGTTTCACCGAAGTGGTAAACGTCTGAGACCTGCATCACTTCTGGCTTTCCTCCCACATTAAGCTGACACGCCGTGATATAACTTGAATACAAGCGGCGTTAAACCCAACTCACTCACTCACTCACTCTGATAACATGCGTCGGTTTAGTGATAATTCTATCCATCGTAGCTATAAATTGCCTTATGGTATGTTGCTGCCTTTGCCAGGTGTTGACAAGAACCTCAGCATGTGGCAGGAGATGGTGCAGGCCACTCCAAGCGGTCAGCGCTGTGCCGTCCGGGCCAAAATCAGCATGGCATCTGACAACGGGTGTATGAGGGACCCAACCATTTACCGGTGCAAGAACGAGCCTCACATCAGGACAGGGACTAAATACAAGTAAGTGTGACAGGCATACCGTATTCCCCGTATTAAGGGCCCTGCTCCAATAAGCACTCCCCGACCGACTTCCAGGCTAATCTGTAAATAATCATAATAAGTGCCCGGAAAAGACTGAAAATTTAAACGACAGTTAATATTTTTACGTGCATTTTACAGATTTTTTTAAACACAGCAGCTCTGAAGGGGTATATAATTGCCGCACTTCGTCAGTTTTTCATACCGATGCTTATTGGTTTTACCAAACAGGTACTTGGTTTCGACCTACATTTCTTTATTCAACCTTCTTACATTATTCTGCCCCTGCGTTTTAAAACTAGTATAATTTCAGCCGTTTTTCTCCTCCCTCACTCACTCGCTCACTGAATGAATGTGGTTTGTATGCCAACAATGTCTGTTTCCAGGGTGTATCCGACTTACGACTTCGCTTGTCCAGTGGTGGACAGTGTTGAGGGAGTGACCCATGCCTTGAGGACCACCGAGTACCATGACCGAGACGACCAGTATTTCTGGTTCATTGACCAGCTCGGTAGGTTTCAGTGTCTTGTCATGCTTTAGAATTTAGTGGAAACAGAAAAATATATCTGCTGAAAAAATTAGATAAGTTCCCAAGCCACTGTTTTTGAGTGTGAGAGTATCTGTCCGGCGTATTACAATATTCTGTTGTTTGTATTACTCTAGAAAAAATAAAAGTCATCTTGCATTTTATGACAAGATTATTTCAAAGAGGAGCACTGCACATTTCCAATCTAGACTTTGAAAAATGTGTCATGTGAGACAATATGTCGGTGTAATTTGGTATTCCGAACAGCAGTTATGGGCTATGTGACTGATTCTGTGAAAATGTTTATCTGTTTCTCGCTTCGATGGTATAAACATTTGAAATGGAAGAGACTCTCCATAGCCAGTGGGAAGTACTGCCAAACAGTGTTTTCATCTATTAGACATTCCAGAATTTGTTTGTTCAGGTTTCAAATTTATATTTTGATTCATAGTCGGAAATGGAGTCACCAGTCTCAAACTAGCTGGAGAAAGCTGCTTTCTGATTGACTAATGTCGACTTCTTGGTAGTCATTTCTTTGGTTGGTCAAATTTTGCAAAAGGTTCTTCTAACATGAACTGTAATGGGATGTGCTCAGTTCTTTATTTTCGCAGTAGCGAGAACTTAGATCTGATTTGAATGAGTTTGGGCCAATACTGACCATTGTCCAACTGTGTCTTACAACAGGGTTGAGGAAGCCACACATCTACGAGTATAGCAGACTGAACCTGCAGAATATTGTCATGTCCAAGAGGAAGCTCACCTGGTTTGTCAACGAGGGCATCGTCGAGGGCTGGTAGGTACTTATAGAAATGGATGGCACGTGGTCCTGTGCACAGCGCACAGATCACTAATCAGGTGAAGTTAAGCAAAGTCGGTCTCGGAGAGTGGATGGATGGATGACCACGTTCTTGACTCCTGAGAGTTTCTTGGGCTTCGGTCCTGCCCCACACAAGCACATGTACCATATGTGGTGTCTGCTTTGGCAAGTGACTTTGTTCGAAATGTGCCTCTGTTCACCCAGCAGTGAGTGGGTACCCAGTAGGATGAGACGGTAACCTTCTAGCGCCTCACAGGCAGCTTGGGTTGTATACTCCCCAGGGAGCTTAGAATGAAAATCGAGTGCTCACTGATCCATTGACTGGGGTAATAATGTAAGCGCCATGAGCACACGAGCTGGTATGGAGTTTGGCACCATACAAATGGACTCATTTATTATTATTATTATTATTATTATTATTGATTCCCGGTGGACTTAAACCCATTTTGTTGTTGTCTGTTACACAGAGCATTGTTCACTGATTCATGTACAGGTACATGCCTGTATGCTGTAATGGTGTTATGAAATATTTTTAGGACCTTGCGGGGAGAAAGTATCAAGACATATACTTTTGCTGTTTACTATATCATAACTCATGTATGCTAGGATATCTGTAATTGGCCTTTGAGAAGCTGTCGTATTAATTTGAGTGATACTGGTGAGATGTAACTGAGGCTGACAAGATAAATAGCGAACGTTTCTCCTTGACCCAGGAATGATCCACGCTTCCCAACAGTGCGAGGCGTGTTGAGGAGAGGAATGACAGTTGAAGGTTTGAAGCAGTTTATTGTCTCACAGGTGAGTCTACAGAATGTTGGAGGAAATGGGTTACAGTGTGTCACGGGATCGGGTGGTCAGACTCGCTGACTTGGTTGATGCATGTCATCGATCCCAATTGTGTGGATCGATGCTCATGATATTAATCACTGGATTGTCTGGTCCAGACCCGATTATTTACAGACGTCATATAGCTGGAATATTGCTGAGTGCGGCGTTACACAACAAACCAACCAACAGTGTGTCAGGTTATTGACAAGCCTTCATGATGGAGCTGACTCTCCTTTCACTCACTCAAAAGCAGAATCCTATGGTCCAGTCGGCACCACAACTTGTGTCCGAAGCTAGGACACCCTTGATTATGATCCTTGTTCTTTCAACCTCATCCCTAACCTCGTGGGTTTCCTCATCGGTAAATGCCCACAACCTGTATAAGTCACTCAGTCACACTCCTGCCTCTGTGGGGTAGAAAATGGAGTGCTTGCCCCGAGAGCAGAATGTCAGTGGTTCAATACCCTGGCTGCATCATGAAAAACAATTAAAGTTGGTTCTTGTTTTTACCCTGCCTGGTACTTGGCACTGAGGGTGGAAAAAGGGCTGGTTGGCTCGGAGTTAGCATCATTGTATCATAGTGGGCTCAGGCAACCTGATGGATCGCGGTACCTTGGTTGATTTCATGGACCTTACTCGTTTCTGGTTTGTCAAGACCAGATTTGATTATTTCCAGGCCACCATAATATAGCTGGAATATTGCTTACCGTGTTGTAAAATGGCGTCAGCATGCATCACCTGCTTGGACCCTTTTGACACTTTCTACGTTTCTGTTTAGTCCCAACTTTGCTACTTTTATCCCACTGCTGTTCCCATGGCAACCAGTGGTATTCTATGGTAGCTAGATCAAAGCTGCTGAATCAAGCCGTTCCGTCGTTGCTGTGATTGGATGGTTCAAAACAGTAGTGACAGTTGTTTATCAAGCTGATGATAGTCACTAGATTGTCTGGTCCTGATGCTGTTGTTTACAGGCTGCAGTCATATAGCTGGAATAGTGTTAGACAATGAAGAAACATCGTTCCTGTTTCAGGGCTCCTCTCGTTCAGTTGTTATGATGGAGTGGGACAAGATATGGGCCTGCAATAAGAAGGTCATTGACCCAGTTGTCCCACGCTTCACAGCGCTAGAGAAGGGGGATGTCGTGCCCGTATCTGTGGCAGGAGCCAAGGATCTGTCCGAGGAAGTCGCCAAGCATCCTAAGGTAAATAAATTGGTTAAAATCATGAAAATGTCTGAATCACTGCATTTAAATTCAGTAAGGCTCTGTGCTCTTCTAACAAGAGACTTGTGTTAGTAGTTTCATGAGGAAGAGACACTGGAGCACAACCACAGAAATTTCACTATCTCACTTGAATCTACAAGGGGTATGGGTGGACCAGTCGTCTGAGGTGCCTCGTTTTGCTGTGCAGAGTTGCCTCCCTTGGGCATGCCAGAAACCTATGATTGTGGGTTTGAATCCCAGTTCGCCCTGATTATGTTTCAAGGTTTGTCAGCACCATACCCGTGCGCGTGGGTTTCACCGAAATGGTAAACATCTGAGATCTGCGTCACTTCAGGCTTTCCTCCCACATTAAGCTGACGCGCCGCGACATAACTGGAATACTGTTAAAAGCGACATTAAACCCAACTCACTCACACACTCACTCACTCACTCACTTGAGTCTACAACTGGTGTTGCCTTTGATCTTCAGAACAAGGATGTTGGCATGAAGACTGTGTGGTACGGCCCAAAGTTGTACATAGAGGGCGCTGATGCTCAGGTCATCAAGGAAGGCGAGATTGTCACGTTTATCAACTGGGGAAATCTCAAGATCAAGGCCATCAAGAAGTAAGTCTTAGTTACAGTTGTTCGATGGCATAACAAGGGTATATTGGAAATATAGTACTCAAGAAAAGTTAAGGAACACCTGATTCTTTCATATTACTATAGTTAATCTGTAATGCCATGACGATGAGTGAGTATGCTTTTACACCGCTTGTAGCTATATTACAGCATATATCACGGGGGGTATGCATGACAGATAAACTCTAGTAATATGAAAGAATTGCGTGGTCCTTAACTCCTTTTGAGCAGTATATTTTGAGTGAGTGTGTTCAACTTTGACATTGCATGGACATTGTTTCAGCCAAAGAACAAGAACAAGTTATGGAATTAATAAACCTCATCAATATGTCAAAATTATGTAATATAAAAATTGGATATATTGAACGAAGGTGACAATTGTCTAACTTGTCGACACATAAACGAACATAATGTTCTGTTGCGTGAACTGACACTCATGAACACATCACATGTGACATCCATGACTCGAGATGCACCATTTGTCTTGGGGCAGGATTAGCGTGTAAAAGCATATCATGATAAGAATAAAGGCACACTGTGGTAACACTTGACTGTTTGCTAGTTTTGTCATAAAGTGGTACTCATTGGAAACATCTTTTGTTAACATACATACATCTCTCTGTTTCTATGGTTTGCATTTCTTTTGGCAGTGAGTATATATACACGTCTATATAAGTTGAGAGTTCTCTACTTATATGTTGGGGATATGTATATAGTTACTGACCAATAACCTGAAAATCACTCACTCTGAAATCCACTCTTATGAAACTCTCTGATGAGACTCACTATAAAATTAACTAGCTCTGAAACTCACTCACTCACTCTGTTCTTCTCTGGCAGGGACGGTGAAGGCAAAGTGGTGTCCGTTGATGCTGAGCTCAACCTGGACAACAAAGTAAGTGTGGAAGAAATCCCATCTCTATGGAGGGTTGTAACTGTGGTAGAGCCTGGAGACTGGGTCACCAGTCAATACTTATTCACAATTATGGCAAATGCCCTAGCAACTAATGAAGCAAAATAGTTGATGAAATTCAGAAATATGTTTAGCATTGGAGGTTATTTCTACCACAAGTATTTGCATGAAGTCTTTGGAAACATATTCCACATGAATTCACAACAAAGCCTGACACAGCTGTGAGCAGTGTTTGCGGTGAGCAGTAAAAGGCAGCAGAGTAGCCTAGTGGTTAAAGTACTGGCTCGTCACACCAAAGGCCTGGGTTAGATTCCATGCGTGGGTACAATGTGTGAATAACCTTTGTGGTGTCACCTTGCCAGGAGATGGCTGAAAGTGGTGTCTAACATACTCACTGAATATGAAGCAAGCTGTGGGGGAAACTGGCGGGGTTAGGACAGGGAACACTGCTGTCTAACAACAGTTAGTCACTCTTAAAACTTCATATAATAGGAGTCAATTATACCAAGTGTATAGTCAATTATACCAAGCGTATAGTCCATTATACCAAGTGTATAGTCCATTATACCAAGTGTAAAGTCCATTATACCAAGTGTATAGTCCATTATACCAAGCGTATAGTCCATTATACCAAGCGTATAGTCCATTATACCAAGTGTATAGTCCATTATACCAAGTGTATAGTCCATTATACCAAGCGTATATTGTCCGTTACCCCAAGTATATACTGTCTTAAAACTTCATATAATAGGAGTCAATTATACCAAGTGTATAGTCAATTATACCAAGCGTATAGTCCATTATACCAAGTGTATAGTCCATTATACCAAGTGTAAAGTCCATAATACGAAGTGTATAGTCCATTATACCAAGCGTATAGTCCATTATACCAAGTGTATAGTCCATTATACCAAGTGTATAGTCCATTATACCAAGCGTATATTGTGCGCTACCCCAAGTATATACTGTCTGTTGTTCAACTGAAACATCCCCAGATGTGAGTGACAATGTTGCCTTCTACATTCATGCACTCACTCTTAAAACTTAATGGGGCGGTCGGGTAGCCTAGTGGTTAAAGCATTCGCTCGTCACGCTGAAGACTAGGGTTCGATTCCAGACATGGGTACAATGTGTGAAGCCCATTTCTGGTGTCCCCCGCCGTGATGTTGCTGGAATATCGCTAAAAGACGCGTAAAACCATACTCACTCACTCACTCACTTAAAACTTAATATAATAGAAGTCAGTTATGCCAAGTGTATAGTCTTTTATACCAAGTGTATATTGTCCGTTATGCCAAGTGTATAGTCCATTATACCAAGTGTATAGTCCAATATACCAAGTGTATAGTCCATTATATCAAGTGTATAGTCTATTATACCAAGTGTATAGTCCATTATATCAAGTGTATAGTCCAATATACCAAGTGTATATTGTCCGTTATGCCAAGTGTATATTGTCCGTTATGCCAAGTGTATATTGTCCGTTATGCCAAGTTCAACTAAAACATGGTGCCTTGTACAGGACTACAAGAAGACCCAGAAGATCACGTGGCTGACAGTCACGGACAAGGCGCCACTGATCCCGGCGGTGTGTGTACAGCTGGACTACCTCATCACCAAGCCTGTGCTGGGCAAGGAGGAAGACTTCAAGGACTTTGTCAACAAGGACTCCAGGGTATACACACTCAAACATCCATAAATTGATAAAACAGAAATACTGGAATTCAGGAATTGAAAAGAACATCAATCTCAATGAAAATCTAGGTGGTAAACTTTCTAATGGTCAGGCTCGCTGACTTGGTTGATTCATGTCATCGATCCCAATTGCGTGGTTTGATGCTCACGACATCAATCACTGGATTGTCTGGTTCAGACTCGATTATTTTCAGACCGCTGTCATATAGCTGAGTGCAGCGTTAAACAACAAACTATCTAAATGACAACTGCTCTCTGGCTCATATTTGAAACTTTCCCTGCTTTCGAAGATTATTGAAAGTATTATTCTTATTGGCACAAAGGGCACACCTAAACATCTTTACACGTAAGTGCCTTGTGGCACACTTTGAAAAAAGATCCATTTCGATCCCTTTTGTAATAACTTGCAGTTAACTATGCTTTGTTGTCAGGATAGTGGAATGTGATATTCTTAACATTTATTATCCCCCGCCCAACAAAGTTGGCGGGGGATATAGAAACGGGCTCCGTACGTCCGTCCGTCACGTTTCGTTTCCGGAGCATAACTCAGAAACCGTTCAATATTTTTTCATCAAACTTTGCGGGTCTGTCAAGTACATGCTGAATGGTGCCTTTTGCTATTTAGAAATTTTAGAAATTTGTATTTTTTACGTTTCCATGGCAACAAGATGGACTTAGGTTCCAAACTCTTCTTTTTTTTACAATTTCCATGACAAGTTCCACCTCAGTTAAAAAAGGTTAGGGTTTGTTTAGATTTAATTATGTCATAAATTTTGCAACAGGGGCGGGGGATATAGCCACGTTAGTGGCAAACTCTTGTTGATTTGGTCATGATTTTTGTACACAGAAATAAGTCACATCTTGCCTTTATTGCTACAGAATGAAACCGAGATGCTGGGTGATCCTTGTCTGGCAACATTGAAGAAAGGGGAGATAATCCAGCTCCAAAGACGAGGTTATTTCATCTGCGACCAACCTTATGAACCAGTCAGGTACAGAGTATTGACTGACAGATTTCAAGCTCTTTTGTTATTTCAATGCAGCATTTCAGTAGAGGTTCTTGTACCATTGTAAAACAAGAGATCAACTTCTGGGTAGCGTCCTAAGTCTGTCCAGTCTTCATTAACAGCTTGTGAATGTGGCCACTTCAAGGTGTGGATTTGTGAATGTGGAGTTGTCTTCAGGAGCTGTTGCATTATCTAAATCACCAGTGTACCAACCACTCCAGTGTTGAATTAATGTTTTGAGGTGAAATTATATCGATATAGGTCCTGTTGCACAAGACGCTTCACAGTCTTACAGCAGTTCCAGCGCCATGATCACTTTGTGAAAGAGGGCCCTAGTCTGAAAACTGATTGTCTATTTGCAAGGCCTTCTTGACAGCTGAGACCGCCTCCCTGGTCTTGTGGTAGAGCGTCCACCTGGAGAGCGGAAGGTCCGGGGTTTGATCCCCGGCCGTGTCATACAAAAAGATGTTAAGATTGTACTTGTTGTTACCCTGTCTGGCACTCGGCATTAAGGGGCTAAAACAAGAACTGGTCGGCTCGGAGTCAGTATACATTGTCTGAGGGGTATTCATGTTAAACTGCGGCATGGTATCTCAGTGAGCTAGCACTATAAAACGGCATCAGTCCGGACTAGTACAAGCAGCCACACACATAAAATACACGTGCATGCATGTCACTATATAAGTGCAATAATCTTGGACGCGACGTTAAACCCAATGTCACCTCACCTCACCTCACCTCACCTCACCTCACCTCACCTCACCTCACCTCACCTCACCTCACCTCTTGACAGCTGAGCCTATGTAGGCCTTAGTTTAATACAAGATGTTGTGTTGCAGCCGGTACTCTGGGAGAGCAAGTCCCTGTGTGTTGCTGAACATCCCTGACGGCCATCAGAAGGACATGCCGACTACAGGATCCAAACACAAGCAGGAGGCCAGTGCCAAGGAGGTGACTCACAGGGCCATCATAAGATTACATCTATAAGAGCATTCTCCCTTTGGTGAATCCTGAGAAGAATAGGTCCCCAGTATCCATGCTTGTCATAAGAGACGATTAATGAAGATTGTGTCCCGGACTGTTATGACAGGGAGTTACAGCAAGAATATTGCTGCCATCAGTCACTCACCCACTTTCAGTCAGATACATGTTTCTGTATGCAAGGACACAGGATACTGCTGGAAGGATGGTGTTAAGGTAGAACTGTAAATGTTGCAGTAAGTCCACAGAATATGTAGTACTTTGCAGTCAAATACGTCTGTGGAAGCCTCGATGGCTGAGTAGGTTAGATCGCTGACTTTGTGTGCTGGCAATTAGGTGCCTCATTCTGGCAAGTGTGGGTTCGAATCCCGGACGGTACTCAACCCAAAAAAGTACGAGAATCTGTACTTTACTAAGAAAGTGTTATCCCAAATATAACATTTGTTTCACTGGGGGTTGTTTATCTGTTTTTCAGAAGGCTCAGAGCAAGAAGGGAAAGTCTGCAGAGAAATCCCCTCAGGACGAGCAGCCACCCTCGGAACTGAGCTCCGTCAGCGAGGTCGACCTCGACAACAACATCCGTGCTCAGGGAGACCTAGTCCGGAAACTCAAGTCAGAAAAAGCTCCCAAGGTGAGCAGTACTGACCTTCCTTGCCAGTTACCACTGTGGCAATTCCAAATTATTTCTTATATGTCATGCTTGTTTTAAGACTCCCTGCTTGTCCTGATAGCCAACCAGTAACAGGTGGTCGGTCTCTGTGCCATGTGTGAAATTGAAACTTCTGTTGCATAGTTAGGAGCGGTCGGGTAGCCTAGTGGTTAAAGCGTTTGGTCGTCACGCCGAAGACCCGGGTTCGATTCCCGACATGGGTACAATGTGTGAAGCCCATTTCTGGTGTCCCCCGCCGTGATATTGCTGGAATATTGCTAAAAGCGGCGTAAAACCATACTCACTCACTCACTGTTGCATAGTTAAGGTACTGTTGGGCCATGGTGAAGCAGATTTTCACGACCCAATCTGAATTAAATCACCCGTTGAAAAGACATTATGCAAAAACATGTATGTGGTTTTACACATCACACAATTTATTCACGGAAATTTAATTATCAGAGTTGACCAATCAGAATCAAGGAGTGTTCTACATCCTTGCAGTCAAGTCATGGCCAACGTAACTAGGTTGAATGATGACTTGCACACAGCTGAACATTGAGGAATGTTCTGATATTTCAGGGCCAGGTCGATGTGGCTGTGAAGACACTGCTAAGTCTGAAAGCCGACTTCAAGGCAGCGGCCGGGAAGGATTGGAAGCCAGACGTCAAACTGCCAGAACCAGCTGCAGCTGCCAAGAAGGTCGGAGCTGGTGATGTCAATGTCAATGACCTTAACAACAAGGTCACAGCTCAAGGCAATCAAGTTAGAGAGCTCAAGTCCAAGAAGGCACCAAAGGTTTGTGATGATGTCACCTTTTATTGAATATTTGAATACCATAAGCTATAGGGTATATTGTCCGTCCTGAGTTCTAGCCCCCCAACCCTTCACAAGGGACATAATCTGTAAATCTGTCAACCCTACAGAGAAACTTCCCTTGCAGCCTATTGTTCAGATGACATATTGTAATCAATTTGTGACATGAACAATGGATGACATCATATCTTTTTTTTCTCAACGATGAAGCAGTGACATTGTATGATTTCAACTGACCAATCAGCATTGAGAATTGCTAAAATGCCCCTGTGCAAATAACGGAAAGGTATTGCACATGATCATTCTACCCTTATGAGTAATATCATATGTTAATACTTAATTAAGGACCCGTGAAGATTCGGGATAGAATAGGTCTTCAGCAACCTATGCCTGTCATAAAAGGTTACTATGCTTGTCATAAGAGGCAACTAACGGGATCCGGTGATCAGACTCGCTGACTTGGTTGATGCATGTTATCGTATCCCAATTGCGTGGATCGATGCTCATGATATCAATCCCTGGATTGTCTGGTCCAGACTCGATTATTTACAGACCGCCGTTATAAAGCTGGAATATTGCCGTGTGCGGCGTTAAACAGCAACCAAACAATCCTAATTAAGAATTTCAATCTTTTATGAAGTACATGGTACATTTGTGGTGTTTGTCCTTGTAGGACCAGATTGATGCAGCTGTGAAGTCGTTACTGAGTCTGAAAGCAGACTTCAAGGCAGCGACAGGGTTAGACTGGAAGCCTGACATGAAGCTTCCTACAGGGTCTGGTGCCCCTGCAAACCAGGCGTCGAGTGGCAACATGGATGACCTAAACAACAAGATTGCTGCCCAGGGCAACACTGTGCGGGATCTCAAGTCCAAGAAGGCGTCAAAGGTAAACATGTTCAACTGTGTTATATAATATTATCTGGTCAAAGAACAGTTTGTGTTAAGTATTGTCATATGGATGTATTTTATCTGTCCACAAGACAATCCCAGTGTTCAAACTTAAGAGAGGTCCTGCAGGGTTTTAGTCTATGATTCAGGCATACCAAAGACACAAAACAAGTACAGGTCTACAATATATCCAGAACAGGATGTGTAGGCAGCAGCTGAATTGCATGTTGTCGTCTGCTGAAAACATTTTCGACTCGATCTCTCCCCAGCGAATAGTTTTAGTGTGCAAAATCTACTCGCTTTTCTGCTTGTCGATGCTTTAGTGAGCAGTTAGAGGTAGTTTACATCATGTCACTGGGTGACCTTGCCCCTGACCATAGCCAGCCGATTGACGGTCGCTGTTTATACATTGGTGCCAGTGATGGACACCATTTGAAGTAAAGAATGTTGGCGCAAGAGATTTGTTTGTGTCTGAAGTGTTCTTCCATCAGTTGCCACCATCCCTCCATGCGGCTCCAAACATGAATATCCTAGGTGCTAAACCTAAGTTTTTAGGAGCCAACATATATCTTGAACAGATATTATCGCCGGTTATGATTACTTTTAGGGAGCCAAGTGGCGAGCAGATTAGGCCAATCGTAGATTTAAGTTGCATTTGGCCACCAAAATGGTTGCTATTTAGAGGGCTGTGCTATTCATCTAAAGCATTAAATCATTGGACATCATGGGGGCTCCAGGGTAGAATAAGTCCCCAGCAACCTACGCTTGTTGCAAGAGGTGACAAACTGGATAGGGTGTGGGGCATGCTCAGCCCTGGTTAGTTAGGTCCTGCTTTGATTATTTGCAGGCCACCATAATATTGCTGGAATATTTCTTACTCTTGTATAAAATAACATGAACCTGCTCTGACTCTTTGGACAAGGACCTAGCAGTGTGCATTTGCTATGCTTCTCTTTTGTCCCAACTTTGCTATGTTCATCCCACTGCTGTTACTATGGCAACCAGTGGAATTTGATGGTAGCTAGATCAAAACTGCTGAATCAAGCCGTTCCATTGATGCTGTGATTGGATGGTTCAAAACAGTAGTGACAGTTGTTTATCAAGCGTTCAGCAAGCTTTTCACTTTTGAGTTGCGTTGGGTTAGTCTACAGGTAAACATGTTCAGGGTGGATCCAGACACGAGTACAGTGAGTTGCCCTTCTGCTGTGATACTGCTGTGATGTTGTTAAAGTCACTAGGGGTGGTGTGGTAGCCTAGTAGTTAAAGGATTCCCTCGTCACGTCGAAGACCTGGGTTCGATTCCCCACATGGGTACAATGTGTGGAGTCCATATCTGGTGTACCCCGGTGTGATATTGCTCGAATAAAACCATACTCGTTCACTCACTTAAAGTCGCTAACCTAGCATGTTTTATTGTTCTGCTTGAACTGGAGCTGGCAGAAATACTTGACAAATATGCAAACAGTTATGCAAAAACAGTAAAGCTATATAAAAGTATCAAATTTCTGCATTTAGATTTACCCAAAAAAATTCAAGATTTTAAAAACTAAAGTATGTTATTGCCCTTGAGCCAAATATTTTATTTTTTACGTCATATCTTTACAATGAAATAAATGTATCATAGAATATTCTTAAACACACAGCACCGTGAGTAGTTATTAATGAGGAAATCAGTTTAATCTGTCTGAAGAGTATAGACTCAACCAATTTTTGAGATCAAAGATCTGAAAAGAATTCTATACACCTTGCCACTGGGCATCTAAGTGTTCCTCTGCAGTTTACTGTCTGTCATGTCATGTATATAGTGACTTCTTCAGATTTGTTGAAGTCCTTCTGTAAGAAACAGTTAATACCAGTGTCATTGCTGTGTTATATCTTTCAATTTGAAAGACTTTGTGTTGCAATCACATAGGTGAACAACAAGGCTGAATTGAAGGCATTCGAGTTTTTGATAGCCATTACAGAATTCTCTAAGTTTCTATTTCCATACTAAAATCACGACACGCCTGCTACCATGGCAACCAGTACTGAATATCAGCTACATAGAAGCTTCTGAATAAAGCCATTTGACTTGTATCCCTTGTCCTGATGAAACAAGACTGTAGCAACAATATGTGTGCATTCAAAGACAATGAACTGTATTAAGTTTGGTCTGAAATTAAGTCATAACACTTCATTTTATGATATCATTCCAGAATTCTTTTTTGTCATTGTCTTGAAGCTACTATCATCTTACTGTCTGCTACCATGGCAACCAGTTTTTTTAAGTAGCTACATAAAAGCTGTTGAGTAAAGCCATCTGAGTTGTCTCCCTTGACCTGATGGATCGAAACTGCAGCAACATCATAATACCATGTTTGATTATTTCACAGACAGACCTGTGATTTGTGCAAATAATTCTATTGATTTTGTTCTCTAACTTGCAAACCCAAACTAAATAATGTTCTATTATTTCTGTGGCAATGACCGGTTGTCTTAAAGGTTTGTTTGATACTGCCAGTCTGTGATATGATCAAAAGTTGTGAAAGGATAATTTATATTTTGTCATTTGGCATTTGTTTGTTGCTTCTGTCTGAAAGGTAATGACTTGTGCAGTGTTCAGGTTTGTTGTAATCCATCTTTGAGAAACGTACACAGTTAGTACCAGTATTATTGCTTTGGTTGTGCTGATTCATGCAATTGACAAGGTTTTATATTCCTAGAACTTCAATGACTTTTGTGCACAGCGTGACTACAAATCAAGGACCCATATTTCTGTCTCTTGATTTATGTTCAGCAGTTCTCCATTTCAGTGTATCTTTGCTATTATAATCCTACTGTCTGCTACCATGGCAACCAGTACAGTAACTGATGTAGCTAGATCAAGGCTGCTGAATCAAGCCGTTCCGTCGATGCTGTGATTGGATGGTTCAAAACAGTAGTGACAGTTGTTTATCAAACAGTCAGCAAGCTTTTCACTTTTAAGTTGTTATACTGTGTTGTGGTAGCCTAGGGGTCAAAGTGTTCAGGATCAATCCTGTTACGGGTACAATGAATGAGATTCACTTCTTAGTGTTCCCGACCTGTGAAGATCCGGGGTAGAATAGGTCTTCAGTGTTCAGGTTTGTTGTCATCCATCTTTGAGAAACGTACACAGTTAGTACCAGTATTATTGCTTTGGTTGTGCTGTTTCATGCAATTGACAAGGTTTTATATTCCTAGAACTTCAATGACTTTTGTGCACAGCGTGACTACAAATCAAGGACCCATATTTCTGTCTCTTGATTTATGTTCAGTGTATCTTTGCTACTATAATCCTACTGTCTGCTACCATGGCAACCAGTACAATAATAGATGTAGCTATATTAAAGCTCCTGAGTAAAGCCATCTGAGTTGTGTCCCTTGACCTGATGGATCGAAACTGTAGCAACAATATTTATGTAGAATTTTTGGAATGATTAGCATGCAAACGATCTTCTGGACCAGCTTAAAACATTTTGTTTTCCTCCAGACTTACTCATCTGCAAACCTAAATTGTATACCCTAAATATGCATTCAGAAAAGTGATATGACAGCATCCTTAATTGACACATGGTGTCCCTGAGTTCACAAGTACCTGGGGGACATGAACTCTACCAGTGAGGGGATGTTTTGGAGAGATGTACAGCTCAGATGCCTATCAATGCGACTCTTTGCAAGCACTGTAAAGTATAGTCAAAACGTGATTCAGTAGAACGTTCTTTGAATGTTAATGTGTGATAACTTCAAAATCTGTTAAGTTTGCAACATCAATTCCATGCTACAATGATTTCACTGTCTGCTACCATGGCAACCAGTGCAGTATATATCAGTAGCTATATAAAAGCTGCTGAGTAAAGCCATCTGAGTTCTCTCCCTTGACCAGGTGGACCGAAACTGTGGCAACATCATTTATCGTGTTAATTTATTTAATGTTAACCCTGTTTACACAAACTAATCTGGGACTACCAAATTGTTTTGTATTGTGATATGTGTATAACTTATTTCAAAACAAATAGTGAAAATATGTTTGGTATAACATGACACCACACAGTATTTTATTGAAGTTGTCTTTTGGGTGGATGTGTTTCCACAAATTGATCCCAATCAGGACTGATTTCTGAAATCTGGACCAAAGAAGAAATAAGTATATACTTTTCATCTCTAGTCAGAGCTTCCTATCTATGACAATAATTTCCAGTCATTAATCCCATGTGTAGCAGAGCCCAGTGGCTGTTAGATATATGATGTGACCTCAAAAAAGGAAGATCATTGTTCAGAAAGTGGGACTGGGGGGTAGCCTATTGCTTGAAGCGTTTGCTCATCACACAAAAGCACCTGGTTCGATTCCCCAAATGGGTATAATGTGTCAAGTGAATTTGTGGTGTCCCCTCAGATGCTGCAGGATGGGCACGCCAGAAACCTATGATTGTGGGTTCGAATCCTGGTTCGCCCCGATTATGTTTCTAGGTTTGTCAGCACCATACCTGTGCTCATGGGTTTCACGGAAGTGGTAAACGTCTGAGACCTGCATCACTTCAGTGGCGTTAAACCCAACTCACTCACTCACTCACTCACTCACTCACTCACTCACTCACTCACTCACTCTGATGCTGCAGGAATATTGTGTGAGGAGCTGAATACTTCAGTCGGTCACTCATTCTTCATTAAGATTGCAAGACACAAGATCATGTACGTTTTCCACCAACTTGGTGTGGATGGAAATTCATCATTGTACTGATTGACAGTAAAGCAAAAATATCCATACACATTTTTGGCCACACCCACTTAAACACATCCCATTTGATTTAAATAAAGCTTGAAGTTTGCCACCATCATGGTGTCTTTAAGTGAAAGAATTCTCTCAGCTGTCAGACATCTGTCATAAAGCATAATGTGTAAGACCCAACAATCTGTACTGTCAACATTTTGTCACCTGCATCAATTGCTCAGATCTTTGGACAAGGACTTAACAGTGTGCATTTAGTCCCAACTTTGCTACTTTCATCCCACTGCTGTTACCATGGCAACCAGTGGAATACGATTGTAGCTAGATCAAAGCTGCTGAATCAAGCCGTTCCGTCGATGCTGTGATTGGATGGTTCAAAACAGTAGTGACAGTTGTTTATCAAACAATCAGCAAGCTTTTCACTTTTAAGTTGTTATATTGTGTTGTGGTAGCCTAGGGGTCAAAGTGTTCAGGATCAATCCTGTTATGGGTACAATGAATGAGATTCACTTCTTAGTGTTCCCGACCCGTGAAGATCCGGGGAGGAATAGGTCTTCAGCAACCCATGCTTGTCGTAAAAGGGTGACTATGCTTGTCGTAAGAGGCGACTAACGGGATCGGGTGGTCAGACTCGCTGACTTGGTTGATGCATGTCATCGTATCTCGATTGCGTGGATTGATTGTCATGATGTCAATCACTGGATTGTCTGGTCCAAACTCGATTATTTACAGACCGCCATAATATAGCTGGAATATTGCTCAGTGCAGCGTTAAACAACAAACAAACAAACAAACATCTTAGTGTTCCCAATGTTTTATATTTGTGTGCTATAAACATCAGCTGGTAAAAATAAGTTAAAGATATGATGCAAATATAAGGCCTTGGCTTATAGGCCACATCTGTGAAAAAACACCATTATGAAAGTTGCTAATTTCTGCTTTATCAAATAAACTAAAGTTCATTATAAAAATAAGATTCTGATATCAAGATAACACATGTTTTTAAACTCTCAAGTAGAAAAAAATGTAAACATGGTAAAAGTCACTATGAATAATCTGTATTTAGCATGGCATAAAGTCCAGTGCAAACACTTCATTCTGTGATATCATTTCAGACTTCTTTATGTCAGTGCCTTGAAGCTACTATCATCCTACTGTCTGCTATCATGGCAACAAGTACAATGTAATTGTAGTGACATAAAAGCTGCTGAGTAAAGCCATCTGAGTTGTCTCCCTTGACCTGATGGATCGAAACTGCAGCAACATCATAATACCATGTTTGATTATTCAGACAGACCTGTGATTTGTGCAGATGACTCTAGAATTACCTTATTGATTTTGTTCTCTTAATTTCAAACCCCAACTCAATCATGTTCTATTATTCTGTGGCAATGACCGGTTGTCTTATAGGTTTGTTTGAAACTGCCAGTCTGTGATATGATCAAAAATTTGTGAAAGAATCATATTTCTTTTTTGTCATTTTTTTAGCAACAATATTTATGTAGAATTTTAGGAAAGATTAGCGTACAAACATTCTTCTGCTTAACTGAGTTTTTTGCCTTTAAATCTTTGTCTCATCTGCAAACCTAATTTTTGTACCTTCAATAAGTATTCAGAGAAAATTATGCGACAGCATCCTCAATTGACACATGGTGGTATCCAGAGTACATGAGTACCTGAGTACCTGATGGACCTGATGGACCTGATGGACCAGATGGACCAAACTCCATCTGTAAGGGGATGTTTTGGAAGGATGTACAGCACACACTCCTAACTTTGTGACTCTTTGCAAGTGCTGAAAAGTGTAGTCAAAACATGATTCAATAGTTCTTTAAAAGTTGACCATGTCTGTGATTTCAATTCAATGCTACAATCATGTCACTGTCTGCTACCATTGCAACCAGTACAATAATAGATGTAGCTATATAAAAGCTCCTGAGTAAAGCCATCTGAGTTGTGTCCCTTGACCTGATGGATCGAAACTGTAGCAACAATATTTATGTAGAATTTAAGGAAAGATTAGCCTGCAAACAATCTTCTGGACCAGCTTAAAACATTTTGTTTTCGTCTAGACTTACTCATCTGCAAACCTAAATTGTATACCTTAAATATGCATCCAGAAAAATGATATGACAGCATCCTTAATTGACACATGGTGTCCTGAGTTCACAAGAACCTGAGGGACATAAACTCTACTGGTGAGGGGATGTTTTGGAGATATGTACAGCTCAGACGCCTATCAATGTGACTCTTTGCAAGCACTGAAATGTGTAGTCAAAATATGATTCAATAGTTTCTTGAAAGTTGACCGTGTCTGATAACCTCAATTCAATGCTACAATCATTTCACTGTCTGCTGCCATGGCAACCAGTGTAGCATATCTGTAGCTACATAAAAGCTTCTGAGTAAAGCCATCTTAGTTATCTCCCATGACTAGGTGGATCGAAACGGCAGCAACATGCACCGAGCAGAATCGTCAGTGATACAACGGAAAGGTTGTAGCCATAAATGATTCTAGCTTGTATCCACTGTAGCATAGTTAAGAACGTATGACAGACCTTTCATTTACTGCTTCATGAGAGTGTGGGTTGTCCATATTTGTTTGCACTGATCATCCTCCATGCCTCTATCTGAAGGACGACTATTTCTTAAGTCCTAATACATGTAACTGCATCTTCCAGAGGCAACAGAGTTAACTGACTATAAAAGTCCTGTTTCCAAACCTTGCCGAACTAGGCTGAAAAATCAGAGTTTTGTTTTGGCTGGACTATGAGTCTATGCACAGTCCAATCAAAATTGTGTAACGAAATCGACATCCAGTTTGTAAACTGCTGTGCAGATTTCAGACAGTTGCAGGATTTGCAAAGCATTTGTACCATTAACTGAATATTTTCCAAATCTCTACATGTTTTAAATCAGGGTGCTCAATTAAGTTGATGCCTTTCGCGAGTTAAGACCCGTTTTATGACAATATAGATCAGACTGCCTTAACTTGGCACAGCCATTTTGTTTGAAGTATATGCAAGAAATATGATTGGTCAATAGGAGGGACACATAAGGGACATCACTGGAGTAAACAGGCCATGATGCATCACTCTGGATCATTGTTGTAGGTTGTGAGGTAGCCCAGTAGTGAAAGTGTTTTCTTTTATGCCTAAGGACTGGTTTAATTCCCCAAATGTTACATTGAATGTGTGACCCATTGAAGATCCAGGTGGAGAATAGGTCTTCAACAATCCTTGCTTTCCGTACTAGGCACCTATGCTTGTCATAAGAGGCGACTAACGGGATCAGGTGATCAGGCTTGCTGACTTGATGCATGTCATCTTATCCCAACTGTGTAGATCGATTGTCATGATGTCAATCACTGGATTGTCTGGTCCAGACTTGACTATTTACAGACAGCCGTCATATAGCTGGAATATTGCTGAGTGCAAATTTAAACTACATACAAACAGCAATGAATGTGTGAGGCCCATGTCCTGCTGTGATATTGCTGGGAAGTTGCTATTAAATGTAGTATCATCATCATCATCACTAGCCTTTAAGCCAGATATTATTAGAATTGTGTTAAAAACCAGCTTCAGTAGTCAATTTATTAATCACTTAACTGGGAAGGAGGGTAAGGGCACTCTGGTGATGTTTGTCATCACAAAACTGATCAGATTATCAAGACATTCACAAGACAGTACCGCTTATTGTTGGGTAAGATGGAGCTTTTTCGCGAGAATGTCGCTTTGGCGTGAAAGCTATCACCTAGCCTATCAGTACTGGATTATATATGATAATGGGTCCAGTGGATCTGTGTGGCTAATTTAATAAGTGAACATGGTGACACAAATACTAATGCATATGCCAGTTATATACATGGCTGTTAGGCATTATCCCTTGTAGCAACACGCACATCTGCAAAGGCTAGCTGCATGCTGCTTTTGGGGAGAATACCTGTACTTTCCTTGCAAATTGTGTTAATTAAAACTATGTGATAATGTTGGATACAGTTAAAATGAAAACAGTAGATAAATATATAATTTTTCTCAGTCTCAAGAGTTGACTCCATGTTACCAACAGAAGTGATACTTGGAATTTTCAACTCATCTCATCTCTTTTTGCTTCAAACTAGAGCAAATAAACTCTACCCTCTCCAAAACCTGGAAATGATCTGGATTTAGGGAAAGTTTTCTGAACTTTGTTTTTCTGACAATAATCAATTATTTCTGCTGATCGTCTGCAGGGGGAAGTTGATGCTGCAGTGAAGGTCCTCCTGGCTCTCAAGGCCGACTACAAGTCTGCTACTGGGAAAGACTGGAAGCCTGGAGCAGACGGCGGGAAGAAGGCAGCAGCGCCATCTGGTGGCAGCGGCATCAAGGGAGGGAATCAGGAACTGGAACAGAAAATAGCAGACCAGGGCGGCAAGGTTCGAGATCTCAAGAGCAAGAAGGCATCAAAGGTAGTTTGCGTTTTCTTTCCTACATGCATTGAAGTGAGAGGCAGCCCATTCTTAGTTTCTCCCGCTGTGTTATTTTCTCTCACTATCCTCCCAATATGTAGTTATGTTACATAAACCTCAAGTGTGAAATGAGGTGAGGACTTGATAGGTTTACTTCATGCTGTCTACCTGGGTTAGAATTGGTCTTCAGCCTGTCATGAGAATATTGACGAGTGTGGTGTTACACATACCACAAACAGTTTCTACTCCATCAATACTCATGATACATGCATACTTAGAATGAAGATGTTTGTTTCTTGGTCTGAAATGAACTTATATGCAATTCAACTTTTGATAGGGATTTTATTTAAATATACATTTGACATATTTTAAGAATAATTTTTGTTTGTCATGGAAAGATAAAATTATCCCTATCGAATGTGGAGTAATATAGTTTACAAAGCCGAAGTATGCATGCCTGTTCTGGACATAGATACCCTACCTCAGACACTTGTACACTAATCACATTGATGTTAAGGATCTTTAGTTTGGAAATTTAAGACCACACATACTTAATACCAGATTATCAACAACTGATTGATTCTTTCCAAGACTAGGGAACCCAGGTCACCCAGTTGTCAATGGTGACGTGCTGAATCCAATTATTATGAGTTTTAATCCCAAATTTGCACAGATTATTAATTTTTAACCAGCACCATAGCTGTGCTCATAGCTTTCGCCAAAGTAATAAATGTCAAAGACCTGAATAATCTTGGGTTTTCCTCACACTTTATGCTGGCACTGTGATATGTAATAACTGAAATACTCTTCACAGCCATGTTATATCCAACTGGCTCACAATCTCACGCTGTCCTCGATGTGCTATCTTCCACACTGCTGCCTTCATAACAACCAGTGACGTTGTGTGATGGCTCGATAATATCCTATCATGATTCATGCTATCCCATCTTGGTGTACATGGATAGTTCAGAAAGGTAGAAACATTCTATGTGGACAGGAAATAAACTATTTACCCTCAACTTTTCATTCTGAATTTCAAACACTGGCTGCCTACTGCAGTGCTGCATTATTCATCTGCATTTTAATGTCAGATCATGTGGTCTTCAGACTGTGCGGAGTTGCATCCCTTACCTGTTCCAGGATCTGCTTGTTATAGGTTTTTATCTGCTTTTCACCTCTGTTCTTATCATCGGTGTGTCAACCTTATTCTCGTCCAAATGAGTTACACCTAATGATAATCATCTACAAATTTTCAAAAGAATTAACCTAACTCACTAGATTTTATGATTTTAGTGTTCTTTAGAAAGGCTTATAGAATTATCCGTTCACTTATACTTAACAAATGGGACCCATGAAGATTCCGGGGTAGAATAGGTCTTCAGCAACCCATGCCTGCCGTAAAAGGTGACTATGCTTGTCGTACAAGGCGACTAACGGGATCGGGTGGTCAGGCTCGCTGACTTGGTTGATGCATGTCATTGGTCCCAATTGCGTGGATCGATGCCCATGATATTTATCACTGGATTGTCTGGTCCAGACTCGATTATTTACAGACGGACGTCATATAGCTGGAATATTACTGAGTGCGGCGTTAAACAACAAACCAACAAAACCAACCAAACCAACCAACTTAACAAATGTGGTCTTGGTTTGGAATTTGTTTCTTTAAAGTGCAAATTATTGACATTACCCCGGTATATATTGACATTATTTTATCAGAGTTAGGTGGTGTTATTATTTATTTCAAGCACATACCTGCTGCATAGAGACATTGTCTGTAGATGCAGTTCGCTTGGTAGGAATTAAAAACGTGATCATATTTTCAAAGCGCAAGGTCAAGAAAACATGCCTTTGTATCTAGAAATACAGCCTTTATTCTTGACAAGTCATATTTGACATAAGTTTGCTATCTTATTCCAACTGCTGTTATCATGGCAACCAGTGGAATTCTTTGGTAGCTAGATCAAAGCTGCTGAATCAAGCCGTTCCGTCAATGCTATGATTGGATGGTTCAAAACAGTAGTGACATCTCAGATTTCAAAATTGTAGGTTTGTATCAGTAACTAAGAGGCCCCCCCCCCCCCCCCCCCCCCCCGTTACACCACTGGCGATTTTTCTCATGACTACTACACAAAGATTGGCATCAGACATTATTCTTCTATGGATGTTTTTCCAAATGGTGAAGGACAAGTCTTTTAACACATGTCATGAAAAGGTCAAAGTAAATAACATTAAAAACAATCGTGAAAGAGTTGTGGTTACACATCCCTGAAGCCATATTAATGAAATTAAACTAAAGAAAATTTGGTATATACCTGGTCAAGTAGAATGGGCCCTGCTTTGAAAAGATTTTGGTCAAGATTAGTCAAAAGGTCAAGGTCAGCATTCAGCTTTTTTGTAAAACATGGTTATATTTTGGTCAGCTTCTGAGGTGCAGTTGCCTCTACAGGCCAGTATCCTTATAAATCCTACCTCATCTAATGTTGGTGCTATGCCTATCAAAGGTCAAAGTCATGTTTGAGGTTATTGTGAAACATGGCTGTATTATCTATTGCCAGTTACTGTTACACTTTTACTTGTACAATCCAGAGACTTGGGGAATTGCTGGATCCTGAGGTGTTTAAATTAAGGTCAAGGTCTGGAAGTAATGTTTTCGGAGTTTTGAGGGAAAGGCATTGGTGTGGCTGCTTCTTTTTTTTTGACGTAAATGCAAACATCTCTAGTTTGAAAATATGACATCGATACATAGATTAGCACGGTAAAAAGTGAGCAGAGCTCACTAATACCCAGACTTTAACTCCAACATATTTCTAAGTTTAAAACAATGCAATGCAATATTTTTTCAGAAAATCCACTAATCGAAATCAAACTTTGTACTGCACCGCTCCTATTTAGAAACTGTACCCCCAATTGGAAAAGAATCCATAAAGTTGTTTTCAAGTTATAGCTCACACAAATGTTGAAGTAAAAAAAATTCTAAGTTCAAAACATGATAAAAATCTTAATTATTTCTGCAAATCAAACTTTGCACTGCACCTCTCCTATCCTTAAATTTGTTTAGGAATTCTAGGTAAAGAAATAAAAAAATAGCTGTATTTTTTCTGAATATCCAAATCTTGAAATCAAACTTTGCACTGCACCTCTCCTATTATTATAGAAAATGTTCAGCAAGTTTGAATAGAATCTATGCAGTAGTTTTCAAATTAAAGGTTACACACAAAAATATCCTCGGAAGGACGGATGGAATTCCTTGGTATAACATACCCCCGCCCTTTTTGTTTGGTGTATAATAATGCTGGAGCATGTTATGCACAGTATTTCAAGGTATACACAGGGGTTCAAAAATCCCATTGCGTAACACCTGGAACAAGTTAATTTATTCAGACAAACAAAATAACCCGTCACTACTTGTCCTCGAGTAAGGAGATCATTTCAACTTAGAGGTACTGAAGTATACATTTAGCCCTGTTTTTACATTATCAGGTAATACAGACTGTTCAGTGTATCGATCTGGCTTGATGTTTTTCAACAATTTATGTTCAGAATTTCATTCAGTATTGTTTCCATTACATTCAGTGAAATTGTGTGTGGATCTGATCTGCAATGGTTTTCACTTCAATCAATGAAAAGTTTTGGGCAACTAGAAATTCATTCAGGGCAAGTGGTTTTAGCTTAGCATATTCGACATAATAAGCGCCCAGGGCGCTCTCAAAATTAGAAATGGGGGCTCTTATTAGAATATTATTTTGGTGAAAAAAACAGAGTTGAAAGATAAATTTCATGGTTTATGCTGACAGCCTGAAATGTTTATGTATGATAGATATATTTTTACAGAATATAATTGCCCATAATTAAGGGTGCATATAACACACCAGTGCGTATTGTATGCAAATAAGTAAGTCTTGTGTACATTGATCAATCGAAAGGGGTGCTAATTGGGATTGTTCACTTGCAAATATATTAGCAAATATCGCCGTGGGCGCTTATAACATCAAATATGGTATTCATTTTCCATCGGCAAGTAGATTTTCAAAAAAAGGAACCCGTGTGAATAAGTGAATAAGTTAATGATATTTGGCTTGACTTTGACAAATATTTCCGGCATGTTTTTCGGCATGCAGTAATCTTTGTTATTGATTGAACTGTCCACATATTAGATTGGGTTATGATCGCTGTCTGTGTGTCATGCTGATGGGAGGGTGGGGTGGGATATAGGGTGACAGTGCATCTTATCTCATGTGTTGACTGGTGTGTATATCACTCATACTGCCCTAGGGAGGAATGTATCCCTTCTGTTGGACCATGTGGAGCATGTTGAAGACAGTATACAGCTTTAATGTATGTTGTGTTGCCAACATATATTGTGTAGTTGTTTTCATCACTTTTCTTTTTGTAAATTTAAGGAATGGAAAAGTAGTTCATGTTTTCTTATTCGATCCGACAGCAGCATTGACATAGCTGACATGCATACTTCATAATTGGATGCACTTCAGTGGAAATGGGTCAGAAATAGCAATTAATTTGTGAACATGTTGAAATGTATATTTTTGACTCGCTGGTTGGAATACAAAAAGACCTTGTTGTTAATCTTGGTTCAGTTCAGAGATCCTGCTTGGATCTTTTTTTTTCCTTTTTTTTTTCACTTGATTTATTGTCAGTAAATTAAAGACAATGTCAGAGGTAGTACACTTCTGATTCTGTTGCAATATTAGATTTCACAAATCCTATTGACACATCAACAAAGGAAGGTTGTCTGTCGTCCATTTGTCAGGGATTGCATCATTTACAAAGTCATTGTTCAGTTGAAATCTTTGACACATCCCCCAGGCCGAATCAATGAAGCATGGAGCAATCACACAACGCCTTCTTTCAGTGTTTAACTCTAGTGCTATATGTGGCTAAACAACTAGGTTAGCTCTGCGTGTGGGGCTATTTTTAGCACTAGTGGGGTTGTGTTCACATGCACACGTGGAGCACATTGTTTTGAGACTGGGAGATAATAGTTGGCTGCATTCAGAGTTACAACCCCGGTACAAGGTATGGTAGATACTTCAGTTGATATGAGTGTTGTGTTGTGGTAGGCAGATAGCTGATTCTGTAGTGTACACATGGCATTAGAGTTGCGTCATCTGTCAACATCTGGGTCATCTACAGCCATTACCAATAACAGTATAGAGTGGGGAAAATGAAACAGAATACTTTTTCCTTTTTTTTTGATAATCAAATTAAAGCTTTGCTTGTGTTCATATGTTGTCAGTATGGTTGTTGTGCTTTCTAGGCCAGTGAACCGAGTGACCTATTCAAGGAGGTGTCACTGTTGATGGTGAATCAGTGATACTACCGGTAGTCAAGTTGAGTGTTCTCTTTTGAAAATCTCCAATTCTTGCATCTGTAAATGACTGGTACATATCAAAAATGTAGATAAGCATTTTATAATTGAAGTATTGGTAATGTTTTCATTATTTTTGTAACCAACAAATTTAGCAATTTAGATGGGTGGGACAGTCATGATAAAAAACCCAAGCATTCATATGTTTTTTTCAAAGATCCAGATTCGTTCACTGTCTAATTCTTCTGGAAGGCTAAAAACAATAATAGCCTTGGTACTCAGGCACTGCCAACATCATCCTAAAGTTCATTGCGTGTTTTGTTTTTGTTTCCATTTTCAATTTTTTTGTGTATTGTGTTTAAGGATTAGGATGTTTACATTTTTTAAAAATAGAAACAAAAACAAATATGTGGCAGACTTTATGATGATGCGGGTGGTGCCTTAGAACCAAGACTATTATTTTTTTAGCCTAAACATGGTCCAGAAAATTGATAAGAATAATGATGCACTTCTTATCTGGTAAGGTTTCCCATTCCCCTTAGTTTCATCTTACATTTAACAGATACCATCTAGTTTATAAAGGTAGTTGTCTGAAGATCACTGGCAAAAGATTTAAGTGACCGAACCACAACTTGTATCTAATTTGAAAGAATGTCAATGACACTGTCTGCTTAAAGAGTCCTGGCTACCGAAATATCTGCGTTTATACGGGCAGTCGGGTAGCCTAGTGGTTAAAGCGTTCGCTCGTCAAGCCGAAGACCCGGGTTCGATTCCCAACATGGGTACAATGTGTGAAGCCCATTTCTTGTGTCCCCCGCCGTGATATTGCTGGAATATTGCTAAAAGCAGCGTAAAACCAAACACACTCACTCACTGCATTTATACTGTTAGGTAAGTCTAGCTATCTATGAAATCAAAATTATAGGTTTATTATTTTTTTTAAATTTATAACCAAGAAATCTATTGTGTTATTAATGATTTGATAGACTTTAAGTTGTTTGAATTATACTTAAAATTTTCTGAAGTGTTTACTGGACACCAGGCATATGTACCTCTCAAATACCAACATTCATGATAGCCTAGTGGTTAAAGCGTTTGCTCGTCACGCCGAAGACCCGAGTTCGATTCCCGACATGGGTACAATGTGTGAAGCCCATTTCTGGTGTCCCCCGCCGTGATATTGCTGGAATATTGCTAAAAGCGGCGTAAAAACCATACTCACTCACTCACTACTGACTTGGTCACAGAAAACAGCTGTGTAAAATGCATTTTGATAACCTAGTAACTATTATAGAAACTGTTGAACCAAGTTTTTATCTACTGCTTGATCTCAGACAACAAATGTAACTATTGTCTGTTTCTTAGTTTTTATAAGTGTCCCCAATTGTCAATTTTCGAAGTACCCAAGCCCTTATTTCAGCAAATACGGTATGTGACACAAATCAGAAACAGCACAGAGACTATGATGTGCCATGCATCTTCACATGATCACTGTCAACTAATATTTATGCCAAATCAGTATGAGTTTCGTCAGATACCAATATCAGTATATGGTCTCTGGTTTCATATATTCCACTTATGCTTATACAAGAAAACCGGTTTGAAAGGGATCTAAAAAATCTGCGCTAAATATATATATATACATGTACATGTATATATGTAAATGTTTCCACGTAGTATCTCCTCAGCAGATAGTGATGTAGGACGACCAAACCTTTTCTGACAGGGTCATACATTACTTGACACAGTATTGATTTCTGTCATTCTAAGTTAATAATGAGCCACACTATTTTCACCAAACTGAATTATTGTCTCCTAAAACATCTGCAACTCCCGACTAATGGAAAATGTATAGACGTTCTTACAATTGTATTTAAGGTATTGATCTCAAGTTAATATGACATTGATGTGATATCAGCCACTTTTCTTCCTCATGCTATTAGTGTATGCGTCAGCTGGTGAAGATCTCAGTGTATTCTACAGTATGTCATTATCTTGTGGAGGTAAATCAGAATTGTAAGTGGTAGCTGCTAGGCTTTAGTGTCATATCAGCGTCTTTCCTTTCTGATACTATTAGTGTGACAGTGTGAGTGTCAGCTGGTGAAGATCTAAGTGTATTCTACAGTGTGTCACTGTATCTTGTGGAGGTAAATCAGAATTGTAAGTGGTAGCTGCTAGGCTTTAGTGTCATATCAGCCTCTTTCCTGCCTGATACTATTAGTGTGACAGTGTGAGTGTCAGCTGGTGAAGATCTAAGTGTATTCTACAGTGTGTCACTGTATCTTGTGGAGGTAAATCAGAATTGTAAGTGGTAGCTGCTAGGCTTTAGTGTCATATCAGCCTCTTTTCTGCCTGATACTATTAGTGTGACAGTGTGAGTGTCACTTTGTGAAGATCTAAGTGTATTCTACAGTGTGTCACTGTATCTTGTGGAGGTAGATCAGAATTGTAAGTGGTAGCTGCTAGGCTTTAGTGTCATATCAGCCTCTTTCCTGCCTGATACTATTAGTGTGACAGTGTGAGTGTCAGCTGGTGAAGATCTAAGTGTATTCTACAGTGTGTCACTGTATCTTGTGGAGGTAAATCAGAATTGTAAGTGGTAGCTGCTAGGCTTTAGTGTCATATCAGCCTCTTTCCTGCCTGATACTATTAGTGTGACAGTGTGAGTGTCAGCTGGTGAAGATCTAAGTGTATTCTACAGTGTGTCACTGTATCTTGTGGAGGTAAATCAGAAATGTAAATTGTAACTGCTAGGCGTTAGTGTCATATCAGCATCTTTCCTGACTTAGGTTTGGGCCTAGTCCTGCAGACCATTAGGGTAACCTAGTGGATATAGCTTCACCAACATGCTGAATATCAAGGTTTGATTCCTTTTCCTGAGGCAAGAGAGTTAACTGACTGTAAAAGTTCATTTACCACCTCTGCCGAACTAGGCCAGAATTTCTGGGTCCGATCATAGCACCACCAGTGGCTACTACTAATTACCTTCTCTGCCCCTCCTATTGGCCAAATCACATGAGCACGTTGATTAAAAGTATGAAAAGATTTGGAAAATATCTGTTGACACTAAATTTACGGTAAAGATGCTTTTGTGAAAGCTTGCAATCGACCGAAATCTGGGGTTTACAAACCAGATGTTGATTTCGTTACATAATTTTGATTGGACTATTCATAGACGCGTTAGTCCAACCAAAATATCACTCCATAATTCCAGCCTCGTTCGGCAAGGGTGGAAACTGGACTTTTATAGTCAGATAACTCCCTTGCCTCGGGAAGATGGGTTTGATTCTCACTGGTACATTGTGTGAAGCCTTATTTTGGTGTTTCCTGCTGTGATATTAATGGAATTCTTCTGAAAAATTGTGTATACATGTGTGCTTCAGCTGATTTAAAACTCTTTGGTCAGTGTTAATTTTATTTGGATTGTTTTGCATAGCATGAGCATTCAGACATCAATCAAATAATATCTTCAATGGTACACACATACAAAAGTAAATACCTTGACTGTTGCCAAGGAGTATATCATCACATGTGAAAAGCAGATTCCCATGTACATTCCTATTCCCTTCCGTTGTAAGACTAGTAGTAGCCAGTGGGGCAAAGAGTGAGCCAGGAAAACAAGTGTCATTCGAGCAGATACAGCTAGTTTATGGTGCTGTGACCACAGATCCCTTTAAAGAAACTTGTATTTGACTGCCTCCGTATGAGCAACATTGTGTGTTTTTCAGAGTGACATTGATGCGGAAGTGAAGATACTGCTGAGTTTGAAGGCTGAGTATAAGGCAGCGACTGGCAACGACTGGAAGCCGCCACAAGGGGGAGCCACCCAGCCAGCGAAGTCAGCACCCGAGATGTCAGCTACAACAGACTCGGCAGAAGCGGCAGCGCTCAAAACAAAAATTGATGCTCAGGGAGAAAAAGTTAGACTGCTCAAAACTTCAGGAGGCGACAAGGTTTAACTTTATTATTGATCAATTAGCTCTTAAGAAAAAGGGGGTCATCGGTGACCCAGTCGTCTGAGGCGCCGCGATTCACTGTGCGGGGATGCATCCCTTCGGCACGCCAGAAACCTATGATTGTGGGTTCGAATCCCGGTTCACCCAGATTATGTTCTAGGTTTGTCAGCGCCATACCCATGCTCATTGGTTTCACCAAAGTCGAGACCTGCATCACTTCCGGCTTGCCTCCCACATTAAGCTGACACACTGTGATGTAACTGGAATACTGTTAAAAACGGTGTAAACCCAACTCACTCACTTTAGATAAAGTCACAGATAATGGCTTATGTTCTTTTTGGATTCAATCTTTGATAAATCTATGCTTTTGCAACATGAAGAATCAGCAGTGTTTATAAAAGGCTGTGCTTATAAAAGGCTGGGCTCTACAAACTGTTGTCCAATTCCTGCCCATGTCCAAACTGTAAAACTGGACCACTGGGCATCAGCATTGTAAGTGGAAGTACCTCTATACTTCATAATATACTGGCCTTATTTGGATTCCTGGTTAGAATAGGATCCCATGTCTGTAGAGGTGACCATTAAAATTGGGAGGTCAAGCTTTATCACTTGGTTCCAAATCATTCATTTCATGTGTTGAACTCACTATTGGCTGTTCAAGTAATTAACAGTTCAAAGATGATTTATTTAAGAAATACTGAGCGGGTATCAAATGAAGGAATGTATCCCTACAGGCTGCAGTAGATGTGGAGGTAAAGGCCCTGCTAGACCTGAAAGGTCAGTACAAGGCCCTGACTGGGGAGGACCTGGCTGGTGGAGGACGCAAGCAGGACAAGAAGGAGAAGAAGCAGGACAAGAAACAAGAAAAGAAACAAGAGAAGAAACAAGAGAAGAAGGCCGAGCCAAAGGCAGCTGTTGATGGGGCCGCAGGGGGACCCAAGAAAGTCACAAGGTAGAGAAGATGGCAGAACTAATTATGATCATAATCTGCATATTTATAATGTGCTTAATCCATGCCCTAAATCATGCTCAAAACGCTACATTTTTACCCTGGTTAATGGATCAGTGTGCACTCAATTTGTATTCTCAGCTCCCTGGGGAGTATACAACCCAAGCTGCATGTTAGGCGCTTGAAGGTTTACAGCCAAATTACCGTCCTACCAAACTCTTGGGTCTGGCCATCAAATTAGATTTATAAGAATGATCAGTTAGATCAAATAATATCCATCACTGGTTTGACCGGTCCAGATTTGATTATTTACATCTTCCATCATATAGCTGGAATATTGCTTAGTGCAGCTACAAACCATCAACAGCAACCATCTTAGGTGCCAGGACACACGATGCAGAGTTGTGATTCGGTGAACATGGGTTCGAATCCAATATTCTGACTTATTACGATTGTTTTGTGAGCAGCTGGTAAACATTTCTGTCCTGGGTCACTTTAGGCTTTCTCCAATATAAGGTTGTCATGTCTTGCTATAACTGTTCAAAGCACTGTTTCTTAACTCACTCCTGCCGCAGGTTAGGACTTGAAGCGCGAAAGGAGGAGGCTCTGTCTGACTGGTACTCCCAGGTGATCACCAAGGCGGAGCTGATCGAGTACTACGATGTGAGTGGCTGTTACATCCTCCGACCCTGGGCCTTCTCCATTTGGGAGATGATCAAGGACTTCTTCGACAAAGAGATCAAGAAACTGGGTGTGGAAAATTGCTACTTCCCTATATTTGTGTCGCAGCAGGCTCTGGAGAAGGAGAAGACACACATAGAAGACTTCGCCCCGGAGGTGGGTTTGTGTTATATCAGTTATGTCACCAGATTGGAATCCAGGTGTAAGAGGTCCTCAAGTGTGGCGAGTCCGGGGTTGTACTGGTCCCTTGTTCTCTATGGGGAGTCCGGGGTTGTACAGGTCCCTTGTTCCCCATGGGGAGTCCGGGGTTGTAGAGGTCCCTTGTTCCCTATGGGGAGTCCAGGAAGTACAGGTCCCTTGTTCCCCATGGGGAGTCCGGGGTAGTACTGGTCCCTTGTTCCCCATGGGGAGTCCGGTGTGGTACAGGTACCTTGTTCCTCATAGGGAGTCTTGGGTGGTACAGGTCCCTTGTTCCTCATAGGGAGTCTTGGTTGGTACAGGTCCCTTGTTCCCTATTGGGAGTCCGGTGTGGTACAGGTACCTTGTTCCTCATAGGGAGTCTTGGGTGGTACAGGTCCCTTGTTCCTCATAGGGAGTCTTGGTTGGTACAGGTCCCTTGTTCCCTATTGGGAGTCCGGTGTGGTACAGGTCCCTTGTTCCCTATTGGGAGTCCGGGGTTGTACAGGTCCCTTGTTCCCTATGGGGAGTCCAGGGTTGGTACAGGTCCCTTGTTCCCCAGTATTGGATTGTCTGGTCCAGCCTTATTTACGGGCTACAATGATATTGCTGACTAAAGCAGAGACTTGAATGAAATAAGCCCATGTTATCATGGCAGACTGTGTGGCTCTGTAGGGCATGATTTTGAAATATTTTCTTAAATTTGTTATTATTTGATAACTGTCTTTTCTTCTTTGTAAATTGTTAGTGTGACTGTTTTCAATTCATTTGCACTGTCCTTTTCCGTCAGGTTGCTTGGGTAACCAAGTCTGGCCAATCCGAACTAGCAGAACCCATCGCCATTCGTCCAACCAGTGAAACTGTGATGTACCCCTCCTACGCCAAGTGGATCAAGTCCCACCGTGATCTCCCACTCAGGCTCAACCAGTGGTGTAATGTTGTGGTCAGTAAAATTATATTGAAGTATCATATATATTGGTAACCACAATTCAAATTACTCCATGTTTATACAGGACGAGTTGCTTAATTTGTTGATTCAAAGTGTAATCAACCATCATCAGTGGTGTATCTCCTAGTAGTAACATTTATCTCTGGTACTGTTAAATGTGGAAGATAACAATAGGTTATTATAGCTTTATATTTATGATCATTCTATTTTCTTTCACAGAGGTGGGAATTTAAGCACCCACAACCATTCCTCAGGACTCGAGAGTTCTTGTGGCAAGAGGGCCACACAGCATTTGCTGGCAAGGACGAGGCGTGTGAAGAGGTATGGGAGACAACTCTTGTGATCATAATTCAATGAACACTACTGTACTGTTACAGAAACCTCACATGTTAGAGTTCCAGTTTGGCCTGATCACGTTTCAAGGTTTGTCAGCACCATGGTAATTGGAGTGGTACATGTCTGAGACCTTCATCACTGTGAGCCTTCCTCCCACATCAAGCTGACATGTAGTGATATGATTGAAAACCGTGTAATCTCGATATATTGTTTGTCTCAAAGTTACCTACGGAAGCTGATGATCCACCTCCACAGGCTGCTAGAGTTGGAGTACAAGGTTCTATGTTATGATATGACCTATGTCTGTTGTGTCAGGTCTACAAGATCCTGGAGCTATATGTAATGGAGTACAAGGTTCTATGTTATGATATGTCCTATGTCTGTTGTGTTAGGTCCACAAGATCCTGGAGCTATATGTAATGGAGTACAAGGTTCTATGTTATGATATGTCCTATGTCTGTTGTGTTAGGTCCACAAGATCCTGGAGCTATATGTAATGGAGTACAAGGTTCTATGTTATGATATGTCCTATGTCTGTTGTGTCAGCTCCACAAGATCCTGGAACTATATGTAATGGAGTACAAGGTCCTATGTTATGATATGTCCTATGTCTGTTGTGTCAGGTCTACAAGATCCTGGAGCTATATGCAAGGGTGTACGAAGACTTACTAGCCATCCCTGTAGTTCGAGGAAGGAAGACTGAGAAGGAAAAGTTTGCTGGTGGAGACTTCACTACAACTGTGGAGGCCTACATATCAGCTAGCGGCAGAGCCATCCAGGTACAAGGAGGATTTTGTTTGTTTGTTTGTTTAACGCTGCGCTCAGCATAATGCCAGCGATCTGAAAATAATCAAGTCAGGACCAGACAGTCCAGTGATTGAAATCATGAGCACCGAACCATGCAATTGGGACACAATGACATGCATCAACCAAGTCAGCAAGTCTGAGCACCCAATCCCGTTAGTCGCCACTTACCACAGGCAGTTGCCTTTTACTGCATGCATGGGTTGCAGGAGACCTATTCTACCCCGTATCTTCACGGGTGTACATGGAGGGACTCTCAACACACAACACTGACAGTGGCAGAGTAGGACACGAACTGCTTCATGTTATGAGCTCAGTCATCCGAAATAGATATCATTTGGAATGCAAGCTGTTTTTTTTTTAAAGGATATGGGGTTGTCATGCACCTTTCTACATACAATCATGTTAGCAAAAGTAATTTAAGGTATGGTAGTGCCAGTGGGAAGCCAAGTGGTCGTCATGATGAAGACCCAGGTTATTCTCCATATGGTTACAATGTGTGGAGCCTATTTCAGGTCATGACCCGTGAAGATTCCGGGGTAGAATAGGTCTTCAGCAACCCATACTTGCCGTAAAAGGCGACTGCTTGTCGTAAAAGGCGACTAACGGGATTGGGTGGTCAGGCTCGCTGACTTGGTTGATACATGTCATCGATCCCAATTGCGTGGATCGATGCTCATGATATTAATCCCTGGATTGTCTGGTCCAGACTCGATTATTTACAGACGGCCGTCATATACCTGGAATATTGCTGAGTGCGGCATTAAACAACAAACCAACCAACTATTTCAGGCCACCTTGGTTTTGCTGGAATGTTGCTAAAATGTATAAAGTATAGTATATTATTGTATCTGTTCTGTATTGGGAAGTCTGTTTGGTTCAAAGCAGAAAGGGGTACCTTCATTATGATTTAAACACATTTGGAAGTTTGCTCTTCATTTGTAAATAGGGGCGGTCGGGTAGCCTAGTGGTTAAAGCGTTCGCTCGTCACGCCGAAGACCCAGGTTTGATTCCCGACATGGGTACAATGTGTGAAGCCCATTTCTGGTGTCCCCCGTCGTGATATTGCTGGAATATTGCTAAAAGCGGCGTAAAACCATACTCACTCACTCACTCATTTGTAAATATGCTATCCATCTCCACAGGGAGGCACCTCACATCACCTGGGCCAGAACTTCTCCAAGATGTTCGATATCACGTATGAAGACCCCGAGACGCATGAGAAGAACTATGTATTCCAGAACTCCTGGGGTCTTACGACACGAACAATAGGTGTTCTATGTATGGTCCATGGAGACAACACTGGTCTGGTGCTGCCACCTAGGATCGCCTGCTTACAGGTAGGGGGGACAACTCTTCTTGGGCATGTTGGAACATGTCCTTCTGTGCATTCAATGGCAGCGATAAAGTGAAAACTGTAACAATGTGTTGCATTCAGTGAAAAGAGTTTTAAGTTCAAACAAGTGAGAGTTGTACAAATGTTTGCACAGTGAACCAACACCTCAACAGTTCATGCAGAGTTTCCTTTCCTTAGTTGTTAGGATAAGCAGAATCCCAGATTCTACTGTGCTACCAACATGATTCTTGGTCCTTCACTGTCATACAGGGATATATCTAAGATTCCAAACTTGGTGCCCTTGGCAGGGAAATTAGAAATAAATTGTGATATTGTTCAAAATTGGATTTTTATAATGTTCATATTTTTGTATATTCAGCGAAATTGGGAAATTTTCAAATTCAAATTGGGAATTTTTACAGCCATTTGTAGGAGACTAAGGGTTCAATATCAGCCCCTGAGATGGTCTGCGCTGGTCTAGATAAATCCCTGATCATAGCATTAGTTTCATTCATCGCACTCCCTCACTCATATTCAGATTGCCTAAATGCTAGGAATTTGGTAACTATCAAGACTCTCTGTGACTGTGTAGATTGTGATCGTGCCATGTGGTGTGACGGCCAGCATGCAGCCAGCGGACGAGAAGAACCTCATGGAGAAATGTGACGAGCTAGGCAAGACGCTGTTGGCTGCTGGGATCCGGTGTAAGGCTGATCTCCGAGACAACTACTCTCCAGGCTGGAAGTTCAACCACTGGGAACTGAAGGTAGGTCACCTTATCACACTCTCAGTTGTAGGGGCAGTATCAGGTCCATATCACCATAGCCGAAGTATCAGGTCCACATCATCACAGTTGTAGCTTCAGTATCATGTCCACATCATCACAGTTGTAGGGGCAGTATCATGTCCACATCATCACAGTTGTAGCTTCAGTATCATGTCCACATCATCACAGTTGTAGGGGCAGAATCAGGTCCACATTATCACAGTTGTAGCTTCAGTATCATGTCCACATCATCACAGTTGTAGCTTCAGTATCAGGTCAACATCACCACAGCTGTAGGGGCAGTATCAGGTCCACATCATCACAGTTGTAGGGGCAGTATCATGTCCACATCATCACAGTTGTAGGGGCAGTATCAGGTCCACATCATCACAGTTGTAGGGGCAGTATCAGGTCCACATCATCACAGTTGTAGGGGCAGTATCATGTCCACATCATCACAGTTGTAGCTTCAGTATCAGGTCAACATCACCACAGTTGTAGCTTCAGTATCAGGTCAACATCACCACAGTTGTAGGGGCAGTATCATGTCCACATCATCACAGTTGTAGGGGCAGTATCATGTCCACATCATCACAGTTGTAGGGGCAGTATCAGGTCCACATCATCACAGTTGTAGGGGCAGTATCATGTCCACATCATCACAGTTGTAGGGGCAGTATCAGGTCCACATCATCACAGTTGTAGGGGCAGTATCAGGTCCACATCATCACAGTTGTAGGGGCAGTATCATGTCCACATCATCACAGTTGTAGCTTCAGTATCAGGTCAACATCACCACAGTTGTAGCTTCAGTATCAGGTCAACATCACCACAGTTGTAGGGGCAGTATCATGTCCACATCATCACAGTTGTAGGGGCAGTATCATGTCCACATCATCACAGTTGTAGGGGCAGTATCATGTCCACATCATCACAGTTGTAGGGGCAGTATCATGTCCACATCATCACAGTTGTAGGGGCAGTATCATGTCCACATCATCACAGTTGTAGGGGCAGTATCATGTCCACATCATCACAGTTGTAGGGGCAGTATCATGTCCACATCACCACAGTTGTAGGGGCAGTATCATGTCCACATCATCACAGTTGTAGGGGCAGTATCATGTCCACATCATCACAGTTGTAGGGGCAGTATCAGGTCCACATCATCACAGTTGTAGGGGCAGTATCATGTCCACATCATCACAGTTGTAGGGGCAGTATCAGGTCCACATCATCACAGTTGTAGGGGCAGTATCAGGTCCACATCATCACAGTTGTAGCTTCAGTATCATGTCCACATCATCACAGTTGTAGCTTCAGTATCAGGTCGACATCACCACAGTTGTAGGGGCAGTATCATGTCCACATCATCACAGTTGTAGGGGCAGTATCAGGTCCACATCATCACAGTTGTAGGGGTAGTATCAGGTCCACATCATCACAGTTGTAGCCGCAGTATCAGGTCCACATCATCACAGCTGTAGGGGCAGTATCAGGTCCACATCATCACAGCTGTAGGGGCAGTATCAGGTCCACATCATCACAGTTGTAGCCGCAGTATCAGGTCCACATCATCACAGCTGTAGGGGCAGTATCATGTCCACATCATCACAGCTGTAGGGGCAGTATCATGTCCACATCATCACAGTTGTAGCCGCAGTATCAGAGTCATCACCTGTTGAGCAATGATTGAGTGACTAGTCACCAACACTATTTCAATTGTGTTGTAAATTTACTATGAATTCTTACATCATTTAATCTCCTCCTCAATACTTGATCATGTGAAAGTATGTGTTATTAAGACACAGAAGCGTCCTGTACCCAAGATGCAAAGGGAGGAAAAGATTCCTAGGTCTTTTGTATTTTACCTGTGTCCTTGCCTGAATATATCTGTTTGTGTCCAGGGTGTGCCAATCCGGGTAGAGCTGGGTCCCCGGGACTTGAAGCAGAATCAGTTGGTTGCTGTGAGACGTGACACCGGGGACAAGATAACACTGAAGAATGACAACATTGTTAAACAGCTGAATGATCTACTCAACACAATCCAAGATGACTTATATGCAAAGTAAGTAGTTCAGTTTTGTTGAGCTGGAATAAAACTTTAGATAATCATTTTCCTGAGTTTTTTACCAAAAAGTCATTCAAAACAAGCAAATATCTTAGCCAACTGGTTTCCTTTATTGCTACTCACTGCTTTATGACTTAGCAGTCAATATTTTGATAATGTAAGCTGTTAGATATCAAACTGATAACTCCATTTTATATGTAAATATACATTTGAGATATTATGGGAATCAGTTCTGTGGAATCATCGAAAGATAAAAATATTCCTATCAAAAGTGGATTAGTGTAATTAATCCAGTCTTGTCTTCATGGATAATAAAATTAACATGTTTTAAGGCTTCCGCAACATAACAGAATAAATAAAAAATATTTCTTATCCTCCATATGCTGAGGTAGCTTAGTAGTTGGGCAAGCCAGAGACCGGAACCTGATTCCCTGTGCTTGTTCAAACAGTAGATCTACAATCTCATTAAAATCAGATCTTAGTTCTCGCTACCACTAAACAAAGATCTGAGGACATCCCATTAGGGGGTCACGTCAGAACGACCTTTTATCTGACCAATCAGAGCGTCGCTTACCAGATCTTGAAAGTGACAGTCGGAATGTGATTTCTAATCGAAAACATTAAAACGGGGTATTCCGAACGATAGTTACGGTCTTAATGACTGAATCTATACAATCTAGACCATATACTAGCCATTCTAGAACGTTCTTTTGTTCAGGTTTCAAATTTTTAAGCGAAGATTTGTCAAAATATGTTTCGAAGCGTAGTCGCCAATTTGAAATTAGTGCCGTAAAGCACGAGAAAGCTGCCTTCTGATTGGGTAATGTCGACTTCTTGTCAGTAGTTCCATTGGTCGGTCTGACGTGACCCGTAATGGGATGTCCTCAGATCTCTGTTTAGCGGTAGCGAGAACTAAGATCTGATTTTAATGAGATTGGTACATCTATGTAACCAAATAACAGTTGTGTACAATCAACCTGGGAAAGGGCCTTCCTACATAAACAAGCACACAAACTACTTTTGCTGCCCTGACGATAACATGAGAAATGCATTAACTGCTATATTGGATCGCATTGTTTTTAAGTTTTAGAATTTTAATTTTTTTTCTGTGAAAATGGAAATTAAAACAAAACGTGCGGCAGACTTTATGAACCAAGACTATTATTTTTTTAGCCTAACACCATCTCACTTGAATATCAGCATAGGTCTATTCAGTTCTGGTGTGCTGATTAAACTGTATTGAAATGTGACCTTTCTTATCCCCAGGGCAAAGAAAGATATGGACCAATTTATGAGTGTGTCACATGACTGGACTGACTTCTGCAACAGCCTTGATCAGAAGAAACTCATCCAGGCTCCGTTCTGTGGAGAAATCCCATGTGAGGACAAGATCAAGAAGGACAGTGCTAGGTGAGAACTAATGGCAGGGTCCCTGTCCTGTCACTATCCCTGATTGTCTCAACTGGAGGTGGATCAGGTTTTCTCACTGTTGGACCTGGGTGCAGTTGTACAAAACAACCTTAGCGCTACGACTGTCGTAAGTCTGTGTTAAGGTATGGGAGTTACGATGACCTTAGCGCTAAGATCGCTTTGGCCTATAGTGAGTCCGGGGCGGTCGGGTAGCCTTGTGGTTAAAGCGTTTGCTCGTCACGCCGAAGACCCAGGTTTGATTCCCGACATGGGTACAATGTGTGAAGCCCATTTCTGGTGTCCCCCGTCGTGATATTGCTGGAATATTGCTAAAAGCGGCGTAAAACCATACTCACTCACTCACTATAGTGAATCCTCTCAACCTGTAGGAAACTGATTTGCAGGACAGGACTGGATTGTTCAGCTTTATGACTTTTGCTGTAATATTGCTCCACTGTTGCGTAAAACAACAGTCACTCACGAAACCTTCAGATGTGTCAGCAATATGTTTCTCTATGTCAACAGAATATCTTGTCCAAGGAGTTTTTCGATTTGTTTGAGATATAGCAATACCTTACTTCCTACTGCACAGACATTTCTCCATTAGTTGGCTGTGGCCCTTCTGTTTTTTCAGTCCTTTATAAAAGTTCATGTTAACGAAATCAGTAGTCAACGGAAATCCATATAGCTAAATCGTCTTCGTATCACACAAAGGATTTCTTTTTTAGCCTGATTTTAATATGAACAGCCGTAGATACAGTCTATCATTGTTGTGTCAATGTCTTGTGTTGCAGGGACGTTGTTGTGGAGGAGGGGGCGCCTGCTATGGGGGCTAAGGGGCTGTGTATCCCCTTCAAACAACCACAGCAGCTCAAGTCCGGGACCAAGTGCATTCACCCAGACTGTGGCAAACCAGCCAAATATTTCACACTGTTCGGCAGAAGCTACTAGAGAGCAACAATTCATCAGTCCAGTAGTGGTTGACAACGTGAAACTATTAGAGGGCTAGGCTCGGGGGAAAGTTGGATCAAGTCGTTACAGTTCACACATCTGCTGATATGGTTCTCTGCATCCAGCTTATTAAATAATGACTAATTGCCAAGTACGCAGAAAGAATATCTCAAGTTCATGCAGAGCATCAGTCTGGACCAGGATATATTTCTATGTCCATGAAGGGGGCACGGGTCGTGGGTCGCCCAGTCGTCTAAGGCACCGCGATTCGCTGTGCAGAGTTGCGTCCCTTGGGCACGCCAGAAACCTATGATTGTGGGTTCGAATCCTGGTTCGCCCCAATTATGTTTCTAGGTTTGTCAGCACCATACCCGTGCTCATGGGTTTCACCGAAGTGGTAAACGTCTGAGACCTGCATCACTTTGGGCTTTCCTCCCTCATTAAGCTGACACACCATGATATAACTGGAATACTGTTAAAAGCTGTGTTAAACCCAACTCACTCACTCACTCTATGTCCATGAAAATGGCTGTTTTCAAAACAAGCAGATATCTTAGCCAACGGGTTTCCTTTATTGCTACTCACTGCTTTATGACTTAGCAGTCAATATTTTGATGATGTAAGCTGTTAGATTTCAAACTGATGAACTCCATTTTATATGTAAATCATCAGAAACATTTTAATTATATCCTTCTTTCTTTATTCAATAGATTCAATACTGTAGTGCATTTGTAGAATCTTTTTATCTTCACAATGAAATATAAACGTAGATTGAGCCTAGTCCTCTAAAGTGGTTCATTTAAGAGGTTTTAACATTTGTCTGAATCACTTACTACTGTGTTTTGTTAATGACATGTTAACCTTTTAACAGAAAAGTTAACTGGCAGCAGTTATTCAGAAAAAGAAAATTCAAATTTTTAAGCAATGTATTCTTCCGACTGTGATATTAAACTATGTGTCATTGTTTATTAATTGTATATTAACAGGATATAGTTATTTCGGAGAGAAATTAATTTATTTCCTAACATGTCTAACAAATGTGAACTCTGCATGTGGATTTAAGTGGTCAATGCAATTTCACTCGACCCAATTTGAGGATCATATTTTCATTTCTCCTTCACAGGATTGTCTCCCCTGTAGTTGATATCCAGCATGTTGGTGTGCCTTCCTTCCTACTCTCCTTGTCATAATGTACATATGTACATGAATAAAACCCTTCAACCTCAAGAGCAACGTTTTTATTTTAGCCTTGTGCTGACAAAACATGCAGCGTTACTGAAGGCCATAGGCCCGTTATACATGTTTAAGTCGTTGCTCTATGATCATGGGTTCGAATCCCAATTTGCCCCATTTCTAGGTTTGTCCGCACCATACCAATGCTTATGGGTTTCACCGAAGTGGTAAACGTCGGAGACCTGCATCACGCTGTGATATATCTAGAATACTGTTGAAAGCGATGTTAAACCCGGCTCATTCATCTATTGTGAATAGACTCCATGCAGAAATGATATGGTCACAAAGGCCAGTAAAATGCATTCCACATCTTGATACATCATCAACAAAGGTTGCTTTGGGCAAATCATTGTCTCAGCAAGAGGGCCAACCATTGGCCAGATGTTCTTCTCACAGATACTGTCTAGGCTTCAGTGATGGGGGGAACGTGTCTGGTGGAACAACTCCGAATGATGAGCTGACGGAACTATTGCAGCATTATTGTTCTGGAATGAGGTGGCATCAGTAGTGAGACAATACACCGATGCATCACGATTTTTTAGTTCTCTATACTAGTATCATTCACAGTCGCACACAAAGTAAAAAGTATTGATTCGTTAATTAAATGTTTGCTTTAAAAACTGTTACACCAAACACTAATTAGCAGTGAAAATGCAAACATTTTCATGTTGCACCATACTTGACACTGTGTAAGTCGTCCGTGTGCCAGGTATTTAGCCATCCTGTCTAGGCAAAAAGATGGCTTTTGCACCACAGAAAAGAGTTCATGCATATATCATGATAAGTATCCTGATCATGAGCAAAGTATCGTGATTTGTATTGGATCGCACAGTTGGTGTATCATCCTAGTCCTTGGTGGCATTGATGTTGATCACTGATAGTTCAACTGTCGTGGGGCAGCACAAAGAAAGATATTTAGGTTTTCTTGTCAAATAACATTTTTTATCATCGAGTGACCTGATATTTTTATGAGTGGCACAGACATGATTGAAAGTGTCAACTGTTTCTGATCTACTTGTCACTGATGTTACAGGTCTTTGTCGGATTGATACGATCAGTCGCTGGATTGTCTGGTCCAGATTTGATTATTTACAGACTGACGTCATATAGCTGGAATATGGCCGAGTGCATCAATACACAACAAATGAAACGGAACGGTAACATGAGGACAAGGGATGTCAAAATAATTTAGTCACATTGCTTGGAACTTTCTGATAAGTGAACAAGAACAGGTTTCACTCGACTTATGTCAACCCCATCCTGCCGACGTTATGCCTGCTCTATAGGCATCACACGGTCTTCTGCATTTTGACAAACTTTACATGCTTAATGTGTTAAAGGGGTAGCCTAGTGGTTAAAGTGTTAGCTCTTCACACCGAAGATCCGGGTTCGATTCCTGACATGGGTACAATGTGTGAAGCCCATTCCTGGTGTCCCCCGCCGTGATATTGCTGGAATATTGCTAAAAACATTGTAAAACCATACTCACACACTCACTAATGTGTTACAAGCAAAAATAATAGTTAAGATCTTCCACACTGGATAATCTACAAGTTGTGATCTGTCTGACCACAAACCCTGCAATTAGCCCACATCAGCTCAGTTGGTTTCAGTCTGGTCCAGACTCGATTATTTACAGACCGCCGTCATATAGCTGGAATATTGCTGAGTGCACGTTAAACAAACCAACCAACCACTTGCAGGGTCAAATTGGAGTACAGGACAGTGTGATCGTGAAGTGTGGCAAGGTTGTCTGCCTTATATGATACAGTTTTAGTTACTCTGATTTTCTCCACAAGTTCCACCTTTGTCTACTTTGCGAGTTGTTTGCATTGTGGCTTTTAAACTGTTTGTTGTTGGGGTATAGTTTAGGGTTCACAGATGTTAGGGTAGCTCACATTTTCCATCACTGTCACATGGGTCTGTCCAGTTGTGGAAGAGGCTCATGTTTAAACCATTCAAGCAATATCTTTCCATTAATTCCTCTGTGGTAAGGACCTTCTGATTTCTTGGCCTCAAAAGACTAGTTCACAAAAGTCGCTAGCATGCAGGCCTATGACATGCTTCCCTTTGCCAGATCGCAGTATTAGGGCAGGTAGCTGTTGGCCAGTCTGTGGTGTGCTGTTTACCCACTTTTAATCAAGGTACACTAATTGGAAACAAAAGTTTCTGAATTATTTGACAGTATGGAGATAGGCTGACTTCGTAGTGAGATTGGAATACCTTTCCCTAGACATTACCTGATCACCATGCTTATTTCCATTGAGGCAAGTACTTATGTAGCATTGGAGCTGTTGATAGAACCTGTAATAATATCCTTGATTATTTTACAAGTTGGAGAAATTTTATGCTTGTATTGACTAGTACTTTTCTGTTTTGTGTGACGGTCCCTACCATATTTTGGCAATGTCAAACACGTTTATATGTCAAACAAGTGCCTGGCAAGTTCTCTGCTTTAATCTGTCATCGCCAATAACAAAATAGTTGTATACATTATGTAAACTGAAGTAACGTCAGCTTTGAGAAACAGGTCACCGTTTAAAGTAATGTCGGAAATGCTAGAAAACTACTTTCTGGCTTCATTTAATAAATACGAGTCATAGGACTATAAAAAGAGCATACCGGTATATCAAAATAACGCAAATTGCCCTAATCTAGCATGTACTGACACTGTGATAAAGCTTAAAATGTACTTTCACAGGTAAAATGATGATCAACTTCATGCATGTATGAAATGGCCTTTTACCTGAGGTAATTACCCAACACCTGTCCCGAGGTGTCTAATATCCTTTTACGTCCCAGTATCTTTTTTTGAGACCACCTCTATACCTGTTTTGTTTATCATACCAGACTTGATGGTATGAATTGAAAACCCAATAGCTTGGGCAGTTCGATAATTCACCTATCTAAATTAATGGTTTCTCTCTATCTCTCTAAAGTGTAAAGAACTTGTATACATTTCTCAGTAGACTCCATATCGTGTATCATGGTTATGGCTATGAAGAGTAATGTAACATGCATCATGGGAGCAATGTTAAGGCAAACGCATCATCATTTTGTCATTTTAGAAGATGCACATCTAGAATTTTCTCAAAATGATTTTCGTGTATGGATTAGATGTTTTATGAAGACTACATTATTATCATTATAACAGAGTCACGTGCGCATATTTCAAAAGTCCGTTTCAGATTGCCATCATTGAATAAATGTCAACTTACTGTTTTCGTTGGAATTTGCCTCCAGTAAGCTTGTCGATAGGACTCTTGTGACTGAAATACTAGTATTTCAAACCACAGTTAGGGCGATCAGTAGTTACTCTATATTTAAAGAAGTCTGTGAAAAATCATGTTATACAAATATGTTTCATGTAGTCACACTGTATAATACATAAACGAGCCCAGTGTCCATTGCTATTGCATGAAACGGGGTTTTCATTTCAGTACTCCTTGCTCCTGGAAACTGGTCACAATAATTATTCCCCTGTAAGGGCCATTGTTATTGAACTTTTATTTCAGGAACATAACGATCTCACATTGCAAATAACACACAAAATGTGTTTCTTTTAATTTCTGCAACTCAGGTCCCAACAGGTTCAATGTGTTGTTGCTTGTACTTGTGCTGACTTCTGTCAGTTTTATAGCGCTAGTCAGATGTCATGCTGCAGTTTAACATGACATATATGGACACACCACTCGGACACATACTACTCCATGCTGGACAGTCCTTGTGATATCTCCTTAATGCCGAGTGCAAGGCAGGGTAACAACAAGTACCATATTTTAACGTCTTTGGTATAGCACAGACAGGGAATGTGAGATCCACAGACTTAACACTCTGTCAGCAATATTATTCGTTTGGACAGTCAAATCGGGATCAGAAAAACCAAACCTGTGGTCTTTTAATGAAACACAAAAACACAAGACAAAACATAGAAGGACAATGGCTTTTAATTCACAGGTGCTACACAAATTACATTCTCTTCAACAAGAAATGTTCATTGTTCATGTCACTTCACATGGGTCACAGATTTAGGTCCTGCCAAAAAAGCCACCCTGTCCTCCACAACACTCAGTCCAGCTGAAAACAAAAGCACACATCCGTTACATGTATGC